CAACCCATCGTAAATCTGTCCAATCGGTTTGAGGATGACTGTGGGGTGCTAAATACAAGCCGAACAGCAGGATGGTGTATTGATATACCTGACCGTCGATGGCAAATCTTAAGAATGGTCTGTGACGGGATATTATCTGAATCTGAAAACAGGCATCTTTCCGATTGAGAGATATGAACCAGTCCCTTGGGCGAATTTTTCTGGTCATAAGCATTATGAACAGTTTTTCACAAGAACTTTGTTCAAATGTTTCAGATCTAAGATAGGTTTGAGTGTCCTGTCCTTCATCGGTACAAGAAAAATAATGGCTGTAAAAGCCTGACTCGCTCAGAGAAGGCGGTACCAGTTCTTGGCCCCTTTGCACATCAGCTTGTGGATGTGCTACTTCCACATTCACTGTCTCAGCAATCTGTGCTGGAAAGCGCGGGGGGCGGCGATCGAATTGTAGCAAATAGCCCTGCCATATTGTGCTTAACACACATTCTGATACCCAGGGAATCGCTTCCCACACTTTTATACGTGTAGCTAGGGGTAGGATGGCTTCCGGGATCTGATCGACGCACTGTGTGGGCTGAAGCGGACGAATGGGCGCGGTGCTTGAACACGCATGCTCCCCCGCAAGAAAATTTTGTACATTTTATGGTTAAATGCATCAATCTCGTGCTCTCTGAGAGATCAAAATTAAGAGCTTCAACCCATGAACTGCTCGTTGAACAAAGAAAAAGCATTGATTTGTACCAGCAAATTAAAGAGGGCTCAAACATCTGTTTAGTTATGAGTGTCTCAATCTGCATTACATTATCAATGGTATTTTAGGTTGCCAAACAATTATTATAATAATGTAATAATGATTTCTATAATTATTCCTATAATGTAAAATCCATTTAGCCTATAAATGTACTGTATAAATGAAAATGAGTATTTCAAAAGTTTATTTTAGCCTAGATTACACTATAATATAGAACAATTAAAATACTTTTTTCCTAATTTCTTCACTTGCAAGAAATAAACCCTTGAGTTTTTATTTAGGAGAAAACACCAGATAACCATGATGATCGCAATAGCAAAGTAATCACGCAGTACAAACAGGATGCTATTCTTAAAGTCTTGTGCTGTTTTATAAAGGCACAAAGCCATATCATGGTTTCAATTTTAGTTTTTTGGCAAAATATAATGCTAGTGAGTTATACATTTTACATCTTTACTTATGTGTTGGGAAAAGGGAGAAGAGAGAGTTCGGCAAAAGGCGGATTCAAACTCACGTTCAAAGCTGCTTTCAAGCACCTCAAACCCTATGACCTACGCCTTTGTACCTATTGAGTAACAAGCGTCTTTTTGCTTTAAAGACAGGCACTTAGTGCAAATATATTCTGCGTTATAGAAAATGTAAAAAAAAATGTTTTCTTCCCCTCGCTTGGGCCCCAGGTGCGCATGGTGAACTTGCAATAAATACATTTTATCAGACCGGCCCTCGGAGCCTCGAAACACTACCGGCCCACCGGGAAAACTCCCGACTCTCCCGATTGCCACTCCGATTACTGTGTGGGACCATGTACATGCTGTGTCAGATCACAGTTTTGATTACTTTTGCTATATTGTTTTCTGCATTATCTTTGTGAATGTGAATCTCCAGCAATGGCAAATCAGACAAACTCTGAGAAAATTCGGAGAAAATTGTTGATATCAGTTCTATAAAGTCCTCAGCAAAGGCTGGATAGTATTTTGGAGGCCTGTAAATAATGATAAGTAAAATACATGGAGCAGTTTTTAACAAAATACCCATATATTCAAAAGATGGGTAATTCCTGAATGATATTTGCTTACATTCATAGACATCTTTAAATGAGCAGCTAAGCCCCGGTCTCTCTTACCCACTCTGGAACCCACTCTCTATACACTCATTAAAGTAAAGTTAGGAGGGGCTGTTTCATTGAGGACTGTTGCACTGCAGCTGTCTTCTAGCCAAGTTTCATTTAGAAACATTAAGTCCAGTTTACTGGACCCTGTGTTGCATGTGGTTATTAAGTCGTTGACTAGAAGTGATTTTTATTTTTTTTTAGCGAGCGGATGTTTAAAAGTGCTAACTGAACAGTCTTTCTTTTTGTCCCCGCCGCAATCTTAGTTTGGCTTGTAATAGGCACCAGATTAGATGCAAACCCATCTAATCTGGTGCCTATTACAAGCCTGTATGGCTTTTGAAGGCCTTAGATTTTCTATCGTGTAATTGAACAACAATAGAGAAAGATTCAGGCACACTGGTTTCCCGCTCTTGACATTTAACATTCATAACAACTTCATAACAACAACTTTCATAACATTTAAGAAAGTCAATGTTATCATAGAGGGGACCCGACACATATCACTGAGAGCTGGTATCAGGTGTTTTTGGTATAAGCCATGTTGTGGTCCCATAGCAGATAGAGTACAAGATAAACTTTGACAGGTGGCTTGCATGTGATTTTATTGTATTATATCACACATGTTGTACTATTATAGACACTAGCATTATGTTCTATCGTGAGCTGATAAGGAAGATTTTATGTGTTTATGCAGGTATAATTAAGATTAGGAGGTGATATAAACATCAGTCAAGTTCAGGTTAGAAAATCCAATGTGTCCAGAATTTTCTTGTTGGAAATTAATTATCAAAATTTTATTTCTAATGAGATTTTCTTATTGGATGCCAACAAAACTCAAAAATAAAAACGTATAAAAATAAATCTTGTATGATTCTTTTGTTTTTAAAAGAAGAAAATAGTGTTTTAGGGCATCACAAGGAATGTAAAGAAAATATTTTATCACAATACCCAAAATATTTGTTTTAAATAATCAAATAATAATAACAATACATTTGTAGGTATCTCATATGTGTCAGAGCTCTTATTGTGATGTTCTGTTTTGTTTGCTTTAGTTCCTGTTTCCCTGCTCTGTTTAGATTAATTTTTCTGGGTTACTGATTTTATCCTTGTTTGTTTCTATGGCTGTTATGTTCACTCCCTTGCCAGTCTTTGTTTATTATTTTAATGTGGTTAGCAGTTATCCCTGACTAAGTTCTCATATATTTTTAATCAAATACTCTCTAGTTGGTTCTGCTTATTGCGTGCTTATCAATAATGGTTTACATTGCATTTCCTCAAGAGTATTACAGTATATTGTTGTCATTATTGTTATTATTACTAATAAGATTAAACATGTACAATTAAAAGGCTTTACATAATAAACTAATCAATTAAGATCACAAAATATACAAATAATAAACCATTGTAGGAATCTCATTTTAATTTATATTGTATTCCTTCAAGATGAGGACTGGCATCCTTTCATTCGATTTTTTGTAATGTTATTATTATTACTAATAAATAATTTATCTCCACATTTGCTACACACAAATTTATATAATATTAAATGACTGAATCTGTATTTTTAATATGTTGTAGTTGTTGTTAGCAGTAGTAATAATTACTACTATAATTAATTAATAAATAATATGTAAACAACTACTATAAGTAATTAATAAATAATAAGTAATCAGTTATTATATTTCTTATATTATGGGATGTTGTCTCGTCGTCTTCCATTATTAGTCACTGCCGTCTCCGCACACAATGGAATTTGGCTGGATTTGTGAATCTGTTTCAGTTTTGCTCCACATCCATTTTCCCACAGCTGACTCCAAATATATTCTCTCACACATTGGACCTCCAATCCAATTCTAGTACCTCAAAGTAGAACTGGCAATTCAATCCCGAGGTATTGATTCCTTCAGTTGGAACCAGCTTTCAGCTCTGATAGCTGCTTGCGTTGCTCTTAACCTGATATGGCCATCAAAGCTTGACTGCGGGCGTATAGGCACATCTGGAGAAATCGCTATGCTAGCTCATTGTGGCTCATTTTGCTAGCTCTAGAGAAAGCATGATGCAGTCAGCACTAGCTCTGACTCTAATGGTATCATCACCACCAAGTAGTTTTCAGTGAGGTGAAAGAGAGCTATTATACCTGAGAGTTTGTTTCAGTTTTGAGTGCTGGCATGCAATAGACTCTATGGGTCAGGGTAAGCAGAGTCCCTCACGCAATGCTTTTCTGTAGAACTGATAACCCATGGTCTGAAACTGGTAAACAAAGGGATCTATCTATCTATCTATCTATCTATCTATCTATCTATCTATCTATCTATCTATCTATCTATCTATCTATCTATCTATCTGTCTGTCTGTCTGTCTGTCTGTCTCTGTCTGTTTGTCTGTCTTTCTGTCTATACAAAAACAGACAGGCAGCAAGTTACAAAATACCTTAAAAAATGTTTCATCTCTTGCAGCTCAAAGGGCAATCCTCAGATCATAAAATAATCCAACATAATAAAGTCTTAAAGAACCCCATGAATGGCACATGTAATTGCTTCATTAAAAAAATACTTATTAGTCCGAGAATAATTGCATGTCTCTAAGCTCTCATTCACTGCATTACTGAAAGGAAATCGTACATTTCAAGCTTAAATCTGAACGTCTCATGAAGCCAGTCTTGTCTAATTGCTTCTTTGAAGCAGTTTGAAAGAGTTCATGCAATATTTTTGGAACGGAAAATATCTTGCAAAATATCTTTTTATTCAACACAGATGTGGTGCTAAAGACTTTCCGTAACAGCTCGTGCATTTGACAGCTAAATTCAACATGGGGAATTGTAAAATGTACAGATAAACAATAATAGTAATAATAAAGTGCCCATTAATAGCATTGCAGGTGAATGAGATAATATAAACATTAATAAAGAAGAAATGCTTTGTCATGCTGACATAAATTAACGGCACAGACTGTGTATAATCTTGTTGAGTTATTGTCTGTGAATGATTCTTGAATGGATACAAAGACACTTGTCTCAAGGAGCACTACTTTATAACCGCGACCTTTGGTAGAGACCCATCAAGCGAAACAAATCCTGGTTGTAAAGTTGTAAAACACAAACACACCTACTCGGGATTTTAATTCCATTCATTTGCAATATAAAGCAGACATTACAGCTCTGCTCTTCTTTAGTGTGCTCTGACTTCAACTGCACACAGGACTGGAAAAGAAGGAATTAACAGCAGCGAATTTCTAACTAACAACAACGAAGGTAAATATAATATATTTAAATAAAACATTTTGTAAAAATTCATTGAAATTTGATATATATTATCAACTAATATAAGATGTATAAATTCAGCTAAAATACATAGCTGTCGGGGAAAAAAAATGTTATCTTGACGTTTATGATGCTTCATAGGCCTTTTACTGCATGTACAAATGTTCTGTTGTTTATCTAGACAAGAATGCTTTCCAAAATTTGTATCTTGATAGGATTGTTTAAACTAACAAGCTGCTGTGAAAATTAAAAAAAACAACAATAAATTTAACTTAAAAAAAAATCGAGACTGTTTGATCCAAAAGAACAATTATGTCGCTATTCTATTTTGTCATGTAAAATAATTCAAGTGAACAATATTTTTTAAATATAGAAAAATTGGTTGTTTTGTTGACATAGTTGTGTTCAAAGAAAAGATGGAATACAATACAAAGTGTAAATGGTACAGTATCAAAATCACAGTAAAACAGATTGTTACTGATGCAGCATGAAGTTTCTCTTTTTGAGTGAAACTAAGCAGAAAATGGAGTAGAAAGATGCTAAACACCATTTTGGACAACATTAGCAGACTAAATTCAGAATTGACAGAAAATACAGTGTGTGTGTTCCAGATGTTTCTGAATGTTTTGTCCTGGTGTTATTGTTGGATGTTTCACATCTTTAACCCTTTCATGTGCAAGAATAGATCTCAAAAAGTAACCTTAAGCTTAGTGACTGAGAAATAAAATATGGCAAAAGTGAAACACCTTTTGCATATTGTTCACTGCATTTCATACATAGACTCAAGGACATGCACTGCATATGTCAAAGACGTGCAGGAAGATGAATTACAGGATGCTGTTTGATTATACGTTGTGTGTGTTAATCAGATGGGAAAGCGGCACTTCTCGGGGTTGGAGGTGACCCTGATCGTGTTGTTTTCGTTGGTGCTGGTGGTCGCTGTCGCATTGGTCGTTTTACTGGCCACTGGGGAACCAGGGGTGATGAGTGAAGATACAGGTAGGTGTTGAGATGTCAGTATTATCTCTTTGAATGACAACATGCAGAGACACGAGCACACATGTATAAACTATGCATGGATTTAAAAGTTCACCCTGTGTTCAATTATTTGACAAAATAAATAACCAATATGATTTCCCTATTTACAAGATAAATATATTCCATTCAATTTAGTGATGTTGAACAGAGATATTACACACACTTTATTACCTCAAAAAACATTGTGGTTCGAGGGCAAACATTTTGTCCAGTGGGACTGCTTCTCTTGAGGAGTCGTTTATTAACAACAACAAAAAAAACTGTGCCCAGTTTTTTATTTTTTCTTCTTTATTGAACATGTTAAAAAATAAATAAATAAGAACAAACAATCAACAAAAAAAGATCATCAGCAGATGATCCAAATAACAGTCATGTTTAACGGGGTTAGAAAGAAGTTAGTATAACTTACCCCCACTTCAATGATATTTTTTAGCTACTTAAAATGTTTACATCACTTAAGTATTCAAACTAACTAAAAATCAAAAAAAAAAAAGAAAAAAAAAAAAAAGAAAATAACTGTCCACCTCATATCCATTACGTTTTTACGTGCCTCAAGGAAGTCAAGACCTGGATGACAAATAACTCACTGCAACTGAATGAAAATAAAACTGAAGTGCTTCTACTGGGTCCTGCTGCTAACAACAACTCCATGAAAACACAGCTTGGCCCTTTAAGTAACAACCTGCACAATCATGCAAAAAACCTTGGAGTCCATTTTTATCCCCTTCTCCAATTCGATAAACACGTAAATGCAGTTGTAAAGAGTAGCTACTTTCAACTCCGTTCAATAGCAAAAGTGAAAAACTTTCTCTAGTAAAGACCTTGAAATTGTGATTCATGCACTAATTTCGTCTCGATTGGACTATTGTAATTCTCTGTACGTTGGCCTACCTCAAACTACACTGTCTCGGTTACACATGGTTCAAAACTCAGCAGCCAGATTGTTAACAGGAACTATAAAGGGATCATATCTTCCCTGTTCTTGCCTCATTGCATTGGCTACCAATAAAATTTAGAGTAGACTTTAAGATCCTCCTTTTTGCATATAATGCTCTACATAACTCGGCCCCAGATTATATTTGTGATCTTATTAACGTTAGACCATAAACAGCTTCTAGGTCACTAAGATCTTGTGATCAGTCACGCTTTCTCTGTTGTTGCGCGAAAGCTCTGGAACAGTTGACCTTTAACCATCAGGACCTCTCCATCTTTGGTTGCTTTTAAATCCAATTTAAAAACCTATTTTTACTCTCTTGCGTTCGAATAAGTTTATGTATTTATTTTTGAATTAGTCGGTGTTCTACAGGTTGTATACGTTGATACACCAAATGTTTTGCTACTTGCTTTTATCTCTTTTTTAATTTATTTCTTTTATTTGATTTAATTATTTTATTGTACTGCAAAGTACTTTGGATCAACTACGGTTGTGTTAAACTTGTGCTCTATAAATAAAGTTTGACTTGACTTGATTGATATTCCTCTGAAATTGTATGTTTTCTCTCAGTTGGAAAAGCTCTTGGATATTTCCAGGCAATTGGTTATTAGGTGCTCTAAAAACAATTTGAACAGTTTTTTAGTCAATCAAATCTTTAAACTTTAATATTTTTAATTTAATGGCCAATGGATGTTTTGGTTCTCTGTATGCAATTTTATGTATGATTCAAAAAGCTTTTTTTACAGCCCATTCTCACCCCCAAGGCGTCACCTAACTGACGCCTTGGGAAGCATTTGACCATGCTTCAATATCTGATGCTTTAGGCGCCCTTTAGCGTCAGTTAGATGACGCCCTAGGATCGCGTGTACCCTACCCCCACCCCAGACCTAAACCTAACGACGTCCTCTAACTGACGCTTTCCTTTAGCGTCAGTTAGATGACGCCGTAGGATCGCGTCATGTAAGTGACGCTAAAGGGCGCCTAAAACGTCAAATATTGAAGCATGGTCAAAGGTGACGCCTTGGGGTGAGAATGCGTTATTTTTTTAGTAGGATGAAGATTGGGTTTGTATTTGTTTTGTAAGTGTTCCCCCATTCTTCTACACAATAAGTCATGTATGGGAGTATAAAGGAGCAATACAGCATACCTAGAAAAGCCTGATTCAATAGTGGATATTTTGGTTTTAATATACTTTATGTGAGGTTTCCAGCTTAGTTTACTATCAATAACTACCCCAAGGAATTTTATTTCGGATTCTTGTTCTAGTTCTATACCATTTATCATTAGTTTCTTATTTATGTTGGTTAATCGGTTACCAAGTATTATACATTTGGTTTTACTCAAATGCAGTGTTAGTTTATTTTCATCAAATCATAATCCTACTCATTTCCTTTTCCATGGTATCCGGTAGCTTCTCCAAATTTTCACCACGACATAGTGCACTTTACATATATCAATTATCTAACGGTTAAATAATAATGGCCCCACACTGAACCCTGTGGCATCCCACATGTAACCTGCAGCAGTTGTGATTTATTGTTTTTATTGTTCCCTATCGAGGGAACTCAACACTGCGTCGATAAAATCGACTCTTTGGGGACGCTCCCTAAGCGTGCGCCTCTGAAGTATGAATGAAACTAATCCAATCCTGATTGGTGTTGCGTCGTGACGTAACATGTGACGGCATACCCGGAAGTATAAAAGTGACGCTGTCACAACACACACTAGCTTTCGCTCTTCAGCAAGCGCTTTATGTTGAAACTGTCTGTCTTATTTGGTGTTGTTTGTCTTATTATTGAAAGAAAGTATGGCCAGTGAACAATTCAAGAGGTGTGTGCATCCCTGCCCTCGTTTCATCACGGGTGGGGACGCACACTCTCTATGTGTGTATTGTTTGGGAGTGCAGCACGCACGGGCAGCTCTCGAGGGGCTGCTTGTGAAATGTGTGAGGCTTTGCCTATTAGAGTGCTGCGCTCCCGGCTGGCGTGCTTTGACGAGCACGGTCAGGCTCGCGTTCCCCAGGGTTCCGGTCCCGCATATGTCGAGGCGATGCGGCGACTGAGATCCTGGGGTTCGCAGCGGGATCTGGCGGAGGAGAGTGAGAATGCTGAGGCATTTTCTCGCTCGCCATCGGCTGGTCCCGCAGCCTCTGAGAGTGGTGTGGGAGCCCGCGCTGCGGTTTCTCCTACCCGCGATCAGGTCCCGGTGCTTGAGCTGTCTACTTCTGAGGAAGGGGACGTGCTCAGCATCGATGCGGACGACCGTGATCTCAGCACGCCATCACGCGGCCTGGGTTATGAGGAGCTGGTGGAGGTTGTGACACGCGCTGTGGCCAGACTAAACATCAGCTGGCCACAACATGAGCAGGAAACGCAAGTCACCAGTAAAATGGACGAGCGTTACCTGCAGCGCAGGTCACAGCCTCACCGCCGGGGTCTGCCGTTTTTCCCTGATCTCCATAAAGAGATCTCGAGAACGTGGGAAAGACCGCATTCGTCCCGTATTTCGAGTCCCAATGTAATAGATTACAGCAATGTTATGGGGGCTCGAGATATGGGATATGGGAAGATGCCGAAGGTGGAGGAGGCTTTAGCGAGCTATCTCTCTCCCGAATCGGCGTCTTCCCTAAAGACCCCGGTGTTGCCTAGTAAGCCCTGCAGAGAGACATCTGCATTGGTGGGCAGGGCTTACATGGCGGCGGGTCGGGCTGGTTCGTGTCTGCACTCAATGGCGATTTTGCAGGCATACCAGGCCGACCTCCTGAAAGATTTGGATGAGGGGGAGGGGCCTACTCCTGAAGATGTCGCGGAGTTGAGGAAGGCCGCAGATTTGTCTCTCCGGGCCACTAGGGAAGCGGCCAGCGCTATTGGCCGCTCTATGGCGGCCATGGTGGCCACGGAGAGGCATCTGTGGCTGAACTTATCCGGAATTAAAGAAAAGGATAGGTCCTTCCTGCTGGATGCGCCGCTTTCGGCTTCTGGCCTGTTCGGCGACGCCGTTAATTCGGTTGTCGACAGGTTTCAGGAGTCGAGAAAACAATCTGCGGCGTTCCAGCAGTACCTCCCCCGGAAAGCGAAGGCCAAATCTAGTAGGGGGGGCAAAGCAATCAGCCCCAGCCATCAGCCAGCTCCTCCCACAGGGCAGAGCAGAAGGAGAGCGTTTCCTCTAGAGCCCCCCCTCCGGGGTCTTGGCAACAGAGGAAACGCTCCCAAAAACCGAAGTCCTCCAGCCAGAGGGGCGACCTGAGGGACGTCATTCAGGCTAAGAGGACTTCGGAAAAGAGGTCCTAGCCAAGGCAGGACTTCAGAGGGCTGCCCCCTCCGCAGTGAGACAACCGAGGTTGTTCTCACAACGGGGCCCTCTAGGAAAAGATGCAGGTCCGCCGTTAACAGCGCTTCGGGCCGCATCAATTTCCAGCGAAAAGACACCAGAGGCCAGCCTCGAGAGGCTGGTACCCTTAGCAGATTTTGTAGAGGGATGGTATCATCTTCCCAACATATCTCCATGGGTCCTGCAGATAATACGAGTTGGGTACAGACTGCAGTTCGCGCACCGCCCCCCCAAGTTCTCTGGGGTGGTGCTCACTGCGGTGGTCCCAGAGCAGGCTCAGGTGTTGGAACAAGAAGTACAGACTCTGCTGTCGAAAGGAGCCATAGAACGTGTTCTTCCGGTAGACAGGGAGTCCGGGTTTTACAGCCGGTACTTTATAGTTCCAAAGAAGGATGGGGGGTTAAGGCCAATTTTGGATCTCAGGGTGTTGAACCGGTCTCTGAGAAGGTTCAAATTCAGAATGTTGACCATTCCAACAATCGTGAGTCAAATCAGATCCGAGGACTGGTTTGTCACGATAGATCTGAAAGACGCCTATTTTCACATCTCCATCCTTCCTTGTCACAGGAGATACCTGAGGTTCGCTTTCGGGGGCGAAGCATACCAATATCGGGTTCTTCCGTTCGGCCTAGCACTCTCTCCCCGCACATTTACCAAGTGTATGGACGTGGCCCTTGCTCCACTGAGACTTCAGGGGATTCGCGTATTGAATTATCTCGACGACTGGCTTATTTTGGCCCAGTCTCGGGAGATGGCAGTTCGGCATCGAGATGTCGTTCTTGGCCATATTCAAAAATTGGGTTAAGACTCAATTTGAAGAAGAGTGTGCTAGAACCGTCCCAGGGCACGACCTTTTTGGGAGTCGTGTGGAACTCGATTACAATGCAGGCACGTATGTCTCCCGCACGTATCGAGTCAATTCTGGCGATGGTGTCCAGGGTGAGGCTAGGTCAGGCCGTCACTGTGAAACACTTTCAAAGGATGCTGGGCCTCATGGCAGCGGCATCCAACATTATTCCTCTGGGCCTCCTTCACATGAGGCCCCTCCAGTGGTGGTTGAAGACCAAGGGGTTCTCACCCAAAGGAAATCCGTTCCGTATGATCAGAGTAACGCGCAAGTGCCTTCAGTCTCTGCAAATATGGAAGAAGCCTTGGTTCCTATCCCAAGGGCCAGTGTTGGGGGTGTCATGTCGCCGGGAAACCGTTTCGACAGACGCCTCCCTTACGGGCTGGGGCGCGGTCATGGACGGCCGCTTTACCAGGGGTCTGTGGCAGGACCATCATCGCACTTGGCATATAAATTGCCTGGAGATGATGGCGGTATTCAAGGCTTTGAGGAGCTTCCTCCCAGACATCGAGGGTCGCCACGTCCTTATACGGACAGACAATACGTCAGTGGTGGCCTATCTGAACCGACAGGGGGGACTCAGATCGCGCCCTCTGTGCAAACTGGCGCATCAGATTATCCTTTGGTCCCAGGGAAAGATATTGTCAATAAGGGCAATGTATATCCCAGGGGTTCAGAATCGGGGAGCAGACATCCTGTCGAGGCAGGGGCTGAGGCCCGGGAATGGAGACTTCATCCGGATGTGGTGAAGTCGATATGGGAGAGGTTCGGACCGATGGAAGTGGATCTGTTTGCGTCTCGAGAGACGTCCCACTGTCCACTTTGGTTCTCCCTCTCACATCCAGCCCCACTGGGGTTGGATGCCATGGTACAGGCTTGGCCGAGGCTTCGCCTGTATGCTTTCCCCCCGATCGCTCTGCTCCCAGGGTCCTGGAGAGGGTCCGTCAAGAGGGCATCAGTCTACTTCTGGTTGCCCCGAGATGGCCGACACGAGTATGGTTCTCGGATATAATATCACTCCTCATAGCTCCGCCATGGCCGATTCCTCTGAGGAGGGATCTATTGTCTCAGGCGGAGGGCACAATCTTCCACCCTCGCCCAGAGTTGTGGAAGCTGTGGGTCTGGCCTCTGAGGGGGTTCAGTACCTAAATGCTGGCTTATCAGCTGAGGTGGTTGGAACCATACTTAGCTCTAGGGCCCCATCTACCAGGAGATTATATGGCCTCAAGTGGAAGGTGTTTCACACTTGGTGTGGAGAACGAAGGTTGGATCCAGTAAACTGCCCAGTGGCTTCAGTTCTGGAATTCCTTCAGGATCGTTTCTCTGCGGGTCTCTCCCCGTCCACTCTTAAGGTGTACGTGGCTGCCGTTTCGGCTTTCCACGCGCCAGTAGATGGTGGACCTCTGGGGAGGCACCAGTTGGTCATTAGGTTTCTCCGTGGTGCTTGGAGGATGAGGCCGGCGATCAGGTCCAGGGTGCCTGCCTGGGATCTGGCAATAGTTCTGGAAGGGTTGTCCCTCGCTCCCTTCGAACCTTTAGAGTCGGCTTCGCCTAAGGACTTAACGTTGAAAATGGTCTTTCTCTTAGCGATTACCTCTCTTAAGAGGGTGGGAGATCTCCAGGCCCTGGCGGTAACGCCAGCTTGCTTGGAGTTTGCCCCTGGCAAAGTAAAGGCCTTTTTGCACCCGAGTCCGGGCTACGTGCCTAAAGTTCCTTCGAGTACGGCTCGCTCTGTAGTCCTTCAGGCATTCCATCCTCCACCTCATGTGTCGGCGGGAGAAGAGAGGCTTCACTTGCTCTGCCCCGTCAGAGCTTTGAGTGTATACTTGGAAAAGTCTGCTTCTTGGAGAAGATCTGACCAGTTGTTAGTATGCTTTGGGTCACCTAAGAGGGGGCTCCGGCGACCAAACAAACTATAAGTAACTGGATTGTCCAGGCTATTACTGAGGCTTACAAGGTGCGTGGGGTTCCTTCACCTTTGGCCTTAAGGGCTCACTCGACTAGAGGCATGGCTTCCTCTAGGGCCCTTCTGTCGGGAGTACCTCTGCAGGAGATTTGTGAGGCAGCCGGCTGGGCTACCCCGCATACTTTCATCAGGTTTTACAGTCTCAGCCTTCCCAGTACGCCCGGTGCACACGTACTCGGCCCTTGCTGAGTGCCTAATCAGTTTCACTCTGGGGCGGGTCTGTTCGGTGCGTGGCCTAGTGGGTACTCGTTCCCCAAAGAGTCGATTTTATCGACGCAGTGTTGAGTTCCCTCGATAGGGAACGTCTCGGGTTATGACTATAACCCTTGTTCCCTGAGAAGGGAACGAGACACTGCGTCGTGTTGCCACGCCCCCTTTTCAGACCCTTGAGCGTCTTGCTTCATCGCGAGGCTAGTGTGTGTTGTGACAGCGTCACTTTTATACTTCCGGGTATGCCGTCACATGTTACGTCACGACGCAACACCAATCAGGATTGGATTAGTTTCATTCATACTTCAGAGGCGCACGCTTAGGGAGCGTCCCCAAAGAGTCGATTTTATCGACGCAGTGTCTCGTTCCCTTCTCAGGGAACAAGGGTTATAGTCATAACCCGAGACGTTTTCTGTTCTCTAGGTAACTGGATAACCATATCAGTGCAATTCCTCTAATACCTCTAAAAAATGTATTGACATGCACTTTGTCAAGGACAGTGAGATATCCACGTCTGTTCCACAAAATAATGATAATAATAATAATAATGTCCACCCTGATTGTTTTCAAGGACATCCAGCAGTGAGAAAACCAAAAGTATACAGAGACAGACAGTATAGAGAGACATTGGTGAATGGCTCACATGGGGACAAGGACTCAAGCACGCACAGACAGGGCTATTATGACAGCTGTCACTCTCAATTTCAATTTACCGCCCTGATGTTGGTCAAGTAGTTTATATTTAAAGGGAACAAATTGAGCCTAGGACAGATGGATGGGGGAGTCTCTATTGTTTCATGCATATGACCTTGTTTTGCCTGGACCTTGATGGAGATCAGGTTACAATATCAATATATTAAAGTAGTTCACTTTAAAAAAAAAAAACTTTTGCTGATAATTTACTCACCCCCATGTCATCCAAGATGTCCACGTCTTTCTTTCTTTAGTCGAAAATAAATTAAATATATATATATATATATATATATATATATATATATATATATATAAATAAAAACACATATTTCTGTAAACATCACATGTAGCAGCTAATTTAGATAAATGTGGTGTTTGATATATGATTATCAGATTGCATACTGGTCAATGATTACACAATAATATCTGTTCGGTTATGTATTATGTAGGTTTGAAGAATTCTGACCTAATGAGTGTTGTATGGCAATAAGCCAGAGTTTGGTTACTAGTGATTTTGCAACAGCTATGGTGTAAGGAAGGGGTTAAAAGACATCCGTGCTGAAACAGCTAAAAAAAAAATGTTTACTTTTGCTTGAAAACTGTGGTATTAACATCAAATTTAACTGATGCTTGGTTACAAGTGTTTTTATTAGTTTATATATATATATATATATTTTTATTATTTTGACATATAATGAGTGATGTTTTTTTGTGCAGCTAATTGGCATTTAAGAATAATTTCTGAAGCATCATGTGACACTGAAGACTGATGCTGGAAATTCAGCTTTGCATCACAGGAATAAATTACATTTTAAAATAAATTCAATATTACTACACAATATTACTGCTTTCACTGTATGTTGCTTAAAATATTTTAAAGTATATCATGATGCTCATTTGCTATTTTTCATTTGTCCCCAACTTCAGGGTCAAACATCATCCCGGATTGTCCCAAAATTCCAGATGGAGAGAGAGTGGACTGTTTTCCAGATGGCGGTGCTTCACAGGTAAGCTGCAGTGGACATGGCCAAGTACATTCCATAAAGACTCCGAGCATGCTTTTCTGAATCTTCCTGTGTGTCCTTACAGCAAAAATGTTTAGAAAGAGCATGCTGTTGGAGCCCCCTGAATGAGACTAACGTCCCCTGGTGCTTCTTCTCCAAAAACCACGGTTACAGAGTGGTCAGTGAAAACAAGCCTGACAGCACACGTGAGTTCATCCTTAACCGAGACGTTGTAATAAAACATTATGACATGTATCATTGTAGATAAGTCTTTTGTTAAAGTTTAAGATAAGTGTTTGTAATACCTCTTTTGTCTCAAGCCACTTATATGGCTACCATTTTTAAATTGGGAGTGGAGTGAAATAGTGGTCGTCACCATGAGATATCACCATTGCACCACTGTACCCTTGATCAAGATCTTCTATTCTTTTATTCTCATAATTACTCTATTGTATATAGATATTGTGTGAATCAAATTCCACTGACTGTGGTCTTGTGGTGATAAAGATTATCGAGATATTTCAAGGCTTAAAAGAAGGCCTTTTTTAAGCAGTGTTTTCTTACCATGAATACTGTTGCTTATCCTAATACGAATTTAGGAAAAAATGACAAGTGGACACAAGTGATACCTCATATAAAATTCCATTGACAATGAATGAAGAACCTGAGCCACACACCTTACATTTCCTTCAGAAAATGCACAAATCTACTTTCCATTGCTGACTGATTTTTTTTTTCTTTTCTTCAAAATTTTAAATTAATATATATATATATTGTCACATACAGCAAACATCTCCTCACTATCCGCTAGCTGCCTGTCTCCTAAACACACTGTAAAAAAAAAAAAAAAAAAAAAAATGCGGTCTATGCAGACAACACAGGCTCCACAAATGGCAACAAAAACAAACTGTGGCAACCTGCTCCATGAAATATAACAAACTGTTCCAGCCAATAACTGACAAGAAGGCCCTGGGGGTGGGGTTTGGTGGGGTCAGTGTAGATGAGGAGGAGGAAGGGTATATCTAGCCTCCATTTTGTTTGAAAATACTTTAAACGTCAACAAGAAGTCACGTCCCCCTACATCGCTTAGAGCACCTTTAACTAATGCTAACAAATGAGACCATATTGTAAAGTGTTATCGAAAATATTATTTCAGTTTTCAGTGTTTCTTTCCCGTTTCTTTGTTAAAAAAAAAAAATCATTGTGCTTTGAAAAGTTTTTATTTGACCATGTAGTAAGTAAAGCAGAAGATTCACCAAGACCTCATTGGACAATGTTTTGCTGTAGATATTGAGGCCAAGCTGACAAGAATGGATGCTCCATCTCTATTTGGAGCTGACATTAAAGAGCTGATCTTCTACGCTGAAATGCAGACAGAAAACCGCTTTCGATTTAAGGTCTGTTTACCAACTGACACAAATAGCCACAACATCATATCAGTGTAAACATGTTTAATGGCATTCAATGTTTTCTTTGTTTCCAGATCACTGATGCAAAGCAAACCAGGTATGAGGTTCCTCACGAGCATGTGGAGAAGCTCCCTTCCAGTCCTCCAACCGGCACCTTAAAATACAGAATAGAGCTGATCCATAATCCCTTTGGACTGAAAGTTTGGAGAACATCTCCCGAAAAAATCCTGTAAGTGGCGTCCACTTTGGAGCTTTTTGTCTTTTCTCTTCCTTTTCACAGATGGATTATTTGTTGACTCTTTGTGAGCACAGAATCTTTTTAAAATGTTTCTTTTACTATATAAAGAGCAATCACAATAACACCAAAAAAAGACAGAAATTAGAAGCATGAAAAGAATGAGGGAATCCGAATAGGTCTGAAAGAAGCCTGAAGCAATGCAAACAAGCTTTTTGTAAAGGAGTTGGTCTTCGTCTCACTGTCGCAATGCCGTTTGATGGAAATTGTTTTGCTTCCTTTTGTTATTGTCTGCCGTCATCTGTTTTTTTTTTTTTTTTTTTTTTTGGTACACTGATGAAAAAGAAAGGCAGGAAAATGGCCAGTCCTGATTTCTAGTTCTTTAATGTTCTTTAATGTGTGTTAAAGTCAAATTTGATTGTTTGTATGTCATAGTGACTATCAAGCCAGCTTTATGGATGTTGCATCTGTAACATAAGCAATGCATATTCGGTTTGGGTTCCTTTTTAAAGCAGAACTCATTCATATTAAATAAGAGAGCACAGAAGAAGCAGCAAGGCAAGGGCAACCTTTTAGTGCATAGTAAAACTAAGTGAGAATGCCATTTAAACTTTGTTGTCAATACATTTTTTTGCAGTACAGACATGCAATACATGATGCTTAAGTGGATTAATTGACATTTAAAAATGATAGTTTACAGAAAAAAGTAGTTTTCAAACTGACAACCATTTCATTATTTTTGGCATTAATCAAAGGAAATTCTTAGTGTAGCAAGCTTGACATCAGTTTATTTCCATTACAAAGCTACATTTATGTTTTGCGCTGTGAAAGCTCAATTTGTGACCGCTGTTGCAATGCTCAAACACTGCAGATGCAATATGTGTGAAACAGACTTTATACGTTCATCAAATGATCCGAATTATGCTTCTTTCTTTATTAAAACTTTCAATAGCATGATTTCCCATTGAGAAATGGGCCTTATTTCCGAAGAATAGGGAACCACAGTCAACGATAGCCACATTTCCTTTACGTAAAATTTTCTTGTATGCTGCAAAAAATAAATGATCAGTAATCTTTTATCTTTTCTGAATTTTATTACTTTAAAGCCTAATAATAATGGCTTTAATCATAGGAATGCATGATTCATAGAGGTTTCAGCATATATTGGTATTTCACAAGAAGTATAGTTGTGTAATATCCTGATTGTCTTGTCTTTAGTGATATTATTTTTAAAACTCCTAAAAGTTTAGATGAGAAGATGTGTATGTCACAGGAAGATTCTTAGCAGTCAGTTTAGATTTGGTTTTGGGAATAGGCAGTCATTTCCTTATGTTACAGAAGATTACATGATCCTTCCAAACCTATCAGTCGATAGTTGTGTTTTCATGTGGTTTGGAAGTGCATTCAGTGTTTTTGGACCCCTCTTGATGACATGCTGAAAGATTGAATCTGTACACATTTTATTTAATGGTTTCATGACATTCACCCACAACATGAACTATATACTTCCACCATTTCTAAAACTCTTGTTCCATCAGGTTTGACACAACCCTTGGGCCGCTGGTTTTTGCTGATCAGTACCTTCAGCTCTCAGCTAAACTCCCTTCTCACAATATTTATGGACTTGGAGAGCATGTCCATCAGACCTTCCGCCATGACACCAACTGGAGGACGTGGCCTATCTTCACAAGAGATGCTTTTCCCAATGGCGTGAGTCACAATATTTTCACTCTTACTTTCTTCACTGGAATACAACATTTTAGGCAAGATTTTGAGGGATATCCTGGCCTTCCTGGAATGAACCTGGAGTGCGTTTCCCGAAAGCATCGTTTGCCAACTATGGTCGCAAGTTCCGTCGTTATCAGCATAGTTCAACGAGTCGGTGTTTCCCGAAACCATCGTTCCAACGAACATTCGGAAACAGCATCGCAAAGTTGGGTGGTTTGAACGACAGCTCTCGACCTGTGGTTAGAAGCATCGTTTCTATATTTCATGACATTTGGAAGTAATAAATCCTTATCTTGAGTAAAATAACAACGCATTCTCACCCCAAGGCGTCACCTTTGACCATGCTTCAATATTTGACGTTTTAGGCGCCCTTTAGCGTCACTTACATGACGCGATCCTACGGCGTCATCTAACCGACGCTAAAGGAAAGCGTCTGTTAGAGGACGCGGTTAGGTTTAGGTGTGGGGTGGGGGTAGGGTACACGCGATCCTAGGGCGTCATCTAACTGATGCTAAAGGGCGCCTAAAGCGTCAGATATTGAAGCATGTCCAAATGCTTCCCAAGGCGTCAGTTAAGTGACGTCTTGGGGGTGAGAATGGGCTGAAAATAAGCAAGCTGACATTCAGTTCAACCGGTGCCTTTTATTCAGCATACATACAAATGTAATTTACGTCTTTTAGTTTTTCAAAAGATTTGAAGTAACGTGCTTGAAGAGTGCGCATGTGCGAGCGTGCTCTACAATGTAAGAACGAGCCAAATATTGAGTCTGGTAATAAAGCAAAACAACTGAGAACAATTAGAAATAGTCCTCAGATGACATGTCTGTAATTTATATAAAACAAATCTAGCGTTAATTGGATCTCAATTTCATTCAAAGTAGTTATTACTCCACCATGTGCGAAACCAACGTGGTTGAACGATACTTTGCGACAGTGGGTTTCGGGAAACAGTCGTGACTAGCTAGTTGATTTTTCCAACGATGCATCGTACTATGGTATTGAAACAGTGAACTACGTCGTTGTACGGGAAACGCACCCCTGAACGACTAAGCATGTCAAGCTTCAAAAGGGATGCAAAAGCATCATAAAATAATCATATAAGTAGTTCATACACATCATGCAACATATTCCAAATATTCTGAATTCATATGACTGAAATTAAATTTGCATTGTTCACTGATAATTTCTGCAATCTAAACAGTGAGTCAGCGTTGAATGTGAGAAATGAATTAGTCTGAACAACATAGCTATTTTTCCGAGATCTAGGGCGGATATCAGTATTTTCAGTGAATTACAACTTCAAATAATTGGATAATATCAGATGACTTAAAATATACAGCATAAGTTTTGTGTTCCAGAGAAGAAATGAGGATGGCTAAATGATGACAGAATTGTGTTTTTATTGGTTAACTTTACCTTTAATGAGCCATTTGTAAATTATTCATATTAATTACTTTTGTTAGTAATGTAATCAGGTTCATTTAGTCATAGTACCATGAATAAAACAATGAATTTAAATATTTAACATGAAGCACATTGGTTAGGTTACTTAACAAAACGTCTGTGTGGGATTAGCCCTGGCATTTGTGTTCAAGACAATGCAACTTAAATGTACTAAATTGTCTCATCAATTGATAGAAAGTTGAAATTTGCCATTAAAAACATGAATGCTTTTTCCTACCCCAGGGCACACACAACCTGTATGGACACTACCCCTATTTAACATGTCTGGAAGATGTGAGCGGCCAATCCATTGGAGTTTTCCTCATGAACAGCAATGCTATGGGTAAATGGTTGTTTTATTTTGTCATTCTCATTGCTTTATTTTTATTTATTTTTTTGCATTCCCAGTCACAAACATGAGCTTTGCCGTGGGCTAAAGTCATAATCTTTAACAACATTTATAATATCTGTGCACAGAATATAATGTGTCTTGATGTGCTTGTGTGTTTGGAGTGGCTGCTTTTGCTTAAGGTTTGCAAATTAGTGCAGTTTCAGTCTTTTTATGTCTGTGTGCAGAGGTGACTATCCAGCCTGCTCCGGCTGTAACCTTCCGAACTATTGGGGGAGTTTTGGACTTCTATATCCTGGTTGGAGACACACCGGAGGCAGTGGTGGACGAGTTCACGAAGGTGAGCGTTGCTGTCGCACATAAATAGAAACACTAATGACACTTGTTGTCGAAATTGTCTGCATTTTAGAAATGCTTTTACATGTCAGACATGGCGAGGCGGGCATTACACATGTGGGCAGCCCGAGTCCGATCTGAAAGCAAAAAAGAGAAAGTGGTCAAAATTTATTTTGATAGTCCACTTTAGACATTCTATTAACTATATGTAACTTTGCAACTACATGTCAATTAGCCATTGATCATTAGAGGATTAGTGGACTGTCTGCTTAATATCTGCTAACACTTTATCTTGATGCTCCTCTAACAGACACTGAAAAAGAAATGTTGCAAGTACAACTTATTCTACTAAGCATAACCCTAACTTAACCATCTAATACTCTAATCAGAGTTAGTTGTAGTTGCAAAGTTATTTAATGTTAGTAAAATGTAAAAAAAAAAAATCATATTCAATTCATATTCATATAAAATTTCATGTTGTAACAGAGTCAGAAGTTGAATGCATCAAATCTTGTATAATAATACCTTTTATAGACTGTTTATTCATTCATATTTATGAATTGTTACATATTTTTACTGTGGATATATTTTAAACAAAATACTAAAATGTTTTATGTAAAAATGCTGATTGGTCAGTTAGTATTCTGCAGTCAATTATATATTTATTTACTTTTTGGAAAATGACAGCTAAACCACTATATATAAACATAAGATAATATATAAAAGAAAAGAAAAAAACTATAAAACAACTTTTTTTCAGCTATCTTCCAATATATATATATATATATATATATATATATATATATATACTCCCATACAGTATATATATATATATATATATAATATATATATATATATATATATATATATATATATATATATATATATACACACTGTATGGGAGCAGAAGCGCTTGTGGAAAGAAGGAGAGCATATTTTAGCTTTTTTACATGGTAAAAAAAATGGTTTTTTTTAATGGGTTTTTTTTTCTTAGCTTTTTTTAATATTTTTATGGTTTTTAGGTGCGAAATGTGAACGGCCTCTTACAGAGTTGGAAAATTACGATATTTTTGTCACGGTTGATACTGCGACACATCTGATGGGTGGTGTCTATTGGTGACGTTCGCCATTTTTAATTCATTTATGGTTAATGGACTAACGTTACTCGACTAGTCTGTGCAAGCCATAATTGTAACCAATATATCTTTTCATGTTTGTCGTGTGTTTAAATTCACCATACTTTCTAAAAGTACAACAATGGTTAGATAAGTATTATAATGAATTAGATCTGTGGTTACAATTATTGGTAACACTTTACAGTAAGGTTCATTAGTTAACATTAGTTAACTACCTTAGTTAACATGTTAACATAAACTAAGAATGAACAATAATTCTGCATCATTTATTAATATTAGTTTATATATATATATATATATATATATATATAGTATAGTATAGTTTTATTCATTTTATATATGAATAATACTACTACTAAAAATGACAACAAACACACAACAAAATCATTAAAACTTTAACTAAAATAAAATGAAAAATACAATAATGAAAACTAAAATAGAATGATAACAAAATAACACCTGTCCATTTATTAATTTATTTTTAGGTAAGCAGCCATATTAAGTCATTAAATAAACTTTGACAAGGTGATCGTCATGAATTTTTCCCTGCTAACTTATGTTATCCTGTGCTGAAGGTTAAAATCATATAGGCCCAGATGAACCATTCGCCTGAGGGAGTCCTGTGATTTTCAGCGTGTTTAACATTGCTTTATGTTTCTCCAGCTGATTGGCAGGCCTTTCATCCCCCCATACTGGTCTCTAGGCTTCCAGATCTCTCGCTGGGACTACGGCAGCCTGGAGAATGTGAAGACAGTCGTGGAGAGGAACCGACAGGCCGGCCTTCCGTACGTAAGTACCAGGAACAGAAGGAGGGGTCCACGCTTTGTTCAGCAAAAATTAGATTCCATCATGCACTTCAAAGCCACGATCGGGAGCACGGAACAAAGCTTTATAAATAATAACTTCACATATGTGAATTTCTCCTGTATATGCAGTTAGAAACATTTAGTACCTTATGGTAGGGTTTTTAATATCCGAAAGATGTACTGAAGCTCAATGTTTGATGTAATTCGAACAAAGAGGGCATTAGCATGTCAGGATATTGCATCTCCGCCTGATCAGCATGAGCAAATTACTGGCAGGAGAATCTCACCATCTGCTGATGTTTGATGGAAGTCAAGCCTTCAAAATTCAAAACTGATAACAGTGAATGGGCAATGTTGGCATGCAAAAGAGACATACATGACTAGTTATGGACAAGACTTGAACGAAGCTTACACAAATATTAACATTAACAACCTATTTAACATCCATGATTTGATGCTGAAGTGAAACAGAATGTTCAATGAGAGAAGACAACTTTGATTTTAAGGGACTCAACGCCAAACCATTATTTATGTCCACATGCTTTGTGTTTCAGGACGTCCAGATCACTGATATTGACTACATGGAGAACAAAAAGATCTTCACCTATGATATGGATAAATTTAAGGAGCTGCCTCAGTTTGCTGACTACATGCATGATAAAGGGCAGAAATACATCATCATACTGGTGAGCCATTGCTATCGAAGTTATATTTATGCTAAGGTTTAGAGTTTTATAGGTCGGTTATTTCCGATTTTTGGACAGTAGGCATTTGCAAATTTCGAGTCATATATTTCAGTCTTTGTTTTCTGTGTTTTTTGAGAGTGTTTAAAAGTACCCTGTTTGGTAGGATCCTGCTGTGTCCACAAGTCCAAGGATAAATGGAGCCTATGAAACACTTGACAGGGGACATCAAGCTAAAGTTTGGGTTACTGAATCAGATGGGGAAACACCTTTACTGGGAGAGGTAAGATCCTCCAAATGTACTCCTGATCATGGTATTTTGTTGCTTAATTGTTACTAGGGTTGGAATTAAAAACCGGCTCTTATTTATAAAACTTAGTGGACTGAATGATTTTCATGTTTGCATTTAGTAATTGGACATTTTACTCTAATGGGCACCGATAACATTCAGCGTAACCATAGTCTGATCTTGGACAAATTTTTGGTGTACTGGTTAAAAAAAATTTTGTTCCCACAAAACTTGTTCCCACAAATTAAGAATTTGTTCTCTCATTTTAGTAAATTATATATTATATAATTCATATTATAATAATTTCTAAAGGATCATGTGACACTAAAGTCAGGACTAATGATGCTGATTTGCATCACAGAAATAAATTACATTTTAAATGATATTCAATTTAAAAAAAAAAAAAAATATATATATATATATATTAATATAATAATAATATATATATAATAAAATATAATATAATATAATAAATATATATATATTGTAATAATGTTTCACAGTTGACTGATTTCACTGTATTTTTAGTCAAACAAATGCAGCCTTGATGAGCTTAAGAGACTTACTTATTTTCTTTCTCTGTATATTAGGTATACGTATTAACAGTTTACAGTATTTACTCAAAAGAACTAAAAGCCTGTAATTGTCAAGTTGGATGCGACTGTTTTCAACAAAAAGCCATTGTACGATTGTGCCATTTGTACGCGGTAAACGATAAAAGTTTAACATTTGTAACCTTAAGTTAGATCATTTATTAACCACCCCTCGAGGCAACAAGACACATATCACATGGCAATATAACTTGTGATTATTTAGCCGATTAGACAGAGGCAGATACTAATTGCTTTTTTATAGTTTTATTTCAGGTCAATGTGTGCATTGATTTTGCATTAGAGTTTAATATCACGCTTTCATGCACCTCAAAGTCATTTGAGATGAGGAAAAGAAAAGAACACAAGAGGAAATGGAAACGCCAGTGGCTTAAAAACAACCAAAAAAAAAAAAAATACATAAATAAAAGGAAAGGGGCAGTGCTAAGTGTCATCTGTGAAAGATTGTGATGTTTGTGATTGAATTTCGTAAATCATGGACATTTTTACCCAAATAAGGAAAATAAATAGTATATAGGCTACTTTTAATGAATGCATATTTATTTACTCTATATTGACAGTTAAGCATATTCCTTTCTCTCATATCACAGGTCTGGCCAGGGGAAACCGTCTTTCCTGACTACACAAATGAGGCTTGCATTGATTGGTGGGTTGATGAAATTTCGCGATTCCACAAAGAAGTCAAGCATGACGCTCTCTGGATTGTAAGTAACCCTCAGAGATCATTACCCGTGACCAAATATTGAACTTGATCATTTTACGACTTGGTAGAAAGGTCATGAAAAATGTTCTGATTCCTATCTCCAACTTCCCACAGTCTCTCGAATCAATATGATATGTCACTGACTCAATATGTATCAATCACGATGCTCTATAAACATTGCAGTAGGCTTGTAAACTCCATCTGATCTATAGAGAACGGTTTAAACTGCAAAAGCTTTAAAGTCAACATGATATCAAAATTTCAATTTCAATGTTTATTTGTATCACGCTTTTTTTCATAGTGTATTTCAAAACTGCATTTTCAAAAATATCAAAATTTAGAAGCCAGTGAAGACACAAACTTTACGCCATCCAATCATTTCCAGGTTGATAAAATCAAGATCTTCCCGTCTTTTTTTCCTCACTAAATATTCTGACTTTCATTCTGAAAGTAAAATGGTTTTGAATGCCATTTCATGTTGACTTTAAAACCTCCCTAAAGGGTGATGCTTTAATCTCAAGATAATTAGCTGCCGGAATTAGGGAGTGCTGAACTAATTGCTGTTTTATTTCTAAGGACATGAATGAGGTGGCCAATTTTGTGAAGGGAGGCATTAAAGGCTGCTCTGATAACAAACTCAACTATCCTCCATTCACCCCACGTGAGTCTGAAATGCTTCTACCGTTAGATTTATTCATAGCAGATTCATATCAGCTAAACATTTCTTCACCATCTGTAAACATCAGTACTCTTTATTTTCATTCGGCTCTAAAGATGTCCTTGATGACCTGATGTACAGTAAGACCTTGTGTATGGATGCTAAACATAAATGGGGGAACCACTATGATGTCCACAGTCTCTATGGGTACTCTATGGTCCTGGCCACTGAGAAGTAAGGTTTTTTTTCACACTCTATATGCTAAAATGCAACTTTAATAGTGAGAAATGAATCCTGAAAGTGTTACAAAAATTACTTCAACCATCTATTGCATCAAGTTGCCTCTGTATAACAGACATTATTTTCTTAATTTCGCAAGCATGTTTTTAAATTTGGAAATAAAATGCAGGGACTTTCGTGATCATATACCCTTGATGTCATTTTTAAGATTTTTTTTTCTTTCTTTTCTGGCATAAGACATTGTGGTGGATCCAAGAACTATCTTCAGAAATATGAATCACATTTTAGCCGGAGTCATATAAATTATTTGTGCATTATGGGGAATTGATTAAATGTCTTTGTTCTCTTAAAAATTGTGTAGCAGTGGAATATATGAATCCTGTGGAGATGCTATGGAGTAACACAGTCTCATCCCAAATCGTCATATAACTGACGTTTTGGGACGTATTTTGACCATACGTCAATATCCGCCTTTTTAGGGCCCCCTTAAATGTCGGTAGATGGCGATCCCGGGCCGTCATACAACTGACGCTTTACCTTTAACGTCAGTTAGGTGACGGGTTAGGTTTAGGGTTAAGTTTAGGTATGGGGTAGAGTTAGGATCCCATAACCTCATCTACCGACGTTTAAGGGGGCCCTAAAAAGGCGAATATTGACGTATGGTCAAAAGACGTCCCAAAACGTCAGTTATATGACGATTTGGGATGAGACCGGGTTCTATGGAGAATATCAGAGTTAGGCAATATTGTTGTTATTTGTTATTGTATTATCCATTGGCACATATCTACTATTTTAGTATTTAGTTTACATTTAAATGACAAGGTTAAATGATAATAAGTTAATACTTTTTGTATTTTTACCAAATAATTTACTAAAAATTGTTTTAAGATCTCCAATTAATACAAGAAAACAGAACCATTTATTTTGTACATGAGTATATGACTGCAAGACATGCCAATCATTTTTTTTTCTTTCCTAATCCAAGCACTAGGGAAAATTAAGAAAAAAAAAGTGAATGTGTGTGGGTTGGGGGGTTTATTTATTTGATGAATGTAGGATAACACACGACAGCTCTGAGTCAGCATTAGTGACTCGAGTAGCATCACGTGTGACTCAGTGTTTTACTGTCATATGGCAGGATGCTTTCCTCAAAGGGGGGTGAAGAGAGTTGAGATGTAACATGGTTGCTCCTTTTATTTTCAGCAGGAAATCTGTTTTACTCATCTTGTAATTTCTACATCATTGATTTGTTCCACTCTCATTCCTTTTCGCCCCCTCTCTCATTCAGCTTAACTCCCACTTAACTCCTGCTTATACTGTATGTCTTTTCATCTCTTACGGTTTCCTGGGCCACTCTACTTGGCGTGGTTTCTTTTAAATGCCCTCCTTTATGTCTTTTTTATTCTGGTGCCAACACTCCCTTTAGCTCTAAAACTGTGTTTTTGCTTCCAGGGCGGCGAAAGCAGTGTTTGGGAACAGCCGTTCCATGGTCTTTACCCGCTCTTCCTTCCCCGGAGTGGGTAAATACGCTGGGCACTGGTTGGGCGACAACGGTGCCAACTGGAATGACATTAAGTGGGCCATACCAGGCATGCTGGAGTTTAACCTCTTCGGAATCCCTTACGTAAGTGGTTTCATTCAGTTTAAGTGTTCACATAAAATGACTTTTCAAACATGGGTAATTGATTGTAGACACCAGTCTTTCTTCAAATCGCAACGGTCCCACTGATAGCATTTAGAGAAAGCTTTTGGTTTTGATTGTGTTTCCATGAAACGCAATGAGAAATTGAATGGGCGTTTGGACTCAGTGTTCAGGTTGAATTGAGTTAACATTGACTGGCTGAATCAACAGTCAGATCCAATGAATTCATCATTGGACGGACGATGTAAACATCTCTTGCTATTGCTGCGTTTAAAAGCAAGCCTTGCACAATATTATCAGATCACCAGACTTACTGTCATTTGTACTTTGAGGTAAATCGTTTTTAAACCACTTTTTATTGGACATTTTATTGGATATTTTTATTGTCGTTATAACAGTATTTAACTCAGAACCCAGAATTTGATATTTCACAGCTTGTGAGTTTGCAAATAAAATGCAGTGTATTACAGTATATTGCATTTTTATTTAATTATCTACATTGTCTCAGATGTTTCTCATCAAATTCCAACTAAACTAAATTTGGTTAGTAAAAGTAGCCACAAATGACATACAGTAAGAGTGTATAAGAGCATTAGAGTTGCTATTAGATTTTTAAGATGAAAAATGAACGTGGAGAGCATCTCATATCAGTTGGGCTTGATGAGAAATATTTGATAACATTGAGATTTCTCATTTCCGATTTCAGACTTTGGTGTCTTTGCAAATCTGAGCATGATCTGTTATGAAGAATCGTGAGTAGAAGCATCTAAGAACTAGGAGACTTCAGCAAAACTCTCCACTTAATCTCAACTGAGATTTCTTTCAAGGATCAAGAGATATTGTGCATATATGTGAAATAAAAATAAAATTAAATAAAAAAAACGGTGAAAACGTGATTGAATGCGTTATGAGTGACAATTCCTATTAAAAATATTGAACGTTACAAATTAATAATTTTGCTCTCCTGGCATAATTTAAGAAATTAATGTTTCTGCAAACCAGATTTATCATAAACAGTGGTCAAATATTGAAGCTGGAGTCTTAAAAATTTCTAATGATGCTCAGTATATCTAGATCAAGTAAGAGTGTTATGTTTTAAAGGGTAATGAATGTTGAACAACAATAATCTGGGGCCGTCTGTAAACTTTCCCGCGAAAGGGGTTAAGTAACTTATTTTGAGGATCTGCCTGTCTGAAAAGTCCATAAGCCAGTCAAAAATAAACACAAATGAGTCACTAATTTTATAATAATATATAAATTTGACTATCTAAGAAAAAAACAAAAGATTCACAAAGGAACACAAATGAGACAATTCAGTCGTGGGTTCATATATGAGGCTTTTAATAGCCGACTTTGGTATTTTGGCAAAAATTAGCTAAATTTTTTAGGTCTTATACAATAGTGAGACATTTAACAGTTGACTGGTGTCTTTTTCATAAATAAGTAAATACAAATATCCTTCAATTCTCAATTTAATCACCTCGCTGTTCTGGAGAAACTGGTTTCTCTATTCATTGTGATTTTTCCCTCCTCTGGAGAGATACTGAATCTCATGATTTTATTCGGCAGAACGGAGTGGACATCTGTGGGTTCTTCGATGACTCACCAGAGGAGCTTTGCAGACGTTGGATGCAAGTCGGTGCGTTCTACCCCTTCAGCCGTAACCACAACGCACAAGGTTACAGAGTACGTCCTGGCCTCTAAATACCAACAAATATTCAGTCTAAGTGTACACAGCGTCTTCCTCTTCTAACATCTCCGCTATGTGTTACTAGCCCAACGGCAATGCTCGGAATTACAAACGTGTCCTCTCTCTTTAAATGCTATTTGTAGAAGATTTATTTCTCTAATCATCATTGTGAGATTGGCGTGAGAGAAGCAATCAGACCTCCGGAGCGAGAGTTTGAGAGGGCAAATGAGGATGAATGGAAAATGATATTCTTGGTGAAATTAGATGAATAAGATTTGACCTTTTAGTCAGAGAGTAATCATTCCTCTGCTGTCTCCGGGACCGATGGCTCTCCACCATGATGAACATATTATCAGTATCCACACAGTAAAATCCATTTACCTCTGAGTCTCTCTTTGCTCTTCAGCTTACTCTCCATGGCTAGTTTGATGTCCCTTTTCTAACAGGACCAGGACCCTGCATCATACGGCCTCGACTCCCTCTTGGTGAACACCTCCAGGCATTACCTTAACATCCGATACAACCTCCTGCCGTACCTCTACACGTTGTTCTACAAGGCCAACGTTAATGGAGAGACTGTAGTGCGTCCCTTGATGCATGAGTGAGTTCAGTGTCAAACAGTGTCAGCCTCAACAACAAACATTTGTTTTTTTTTTGTTTATTACCTGCATTTACTTCTACATGTATGCAATCTCTAAAATAAAAAGAGGTGTGTAGAACTTAGAACTAATGGAGTAGTGTAAATGCCTTTGGGTTTAATTCATCAACTTAATTATCATCAACTTAATTATTTTAAGTAAATACACAACCGTTTAAATGTTTGCAGTCAGTCCTTACAAAGAAACCTTTATTTAGTAAGGATGCATTCAATTGATCAAAAGTGGCAGTAGAGACTTTTACCTTGTTACAAAAGATTGCTATTTCCTATAAATGCTGTTCTTTTGAACTATGTATCCATCATCAAAAATCCTGAAAAAAAAAAAATGTATTATTGTATCAAAGATATTAAGTGGCACCGCTGTTTTCAACGTTGATAATTATAAGACATTTTGAAGACTGGAGTAATGGCTGCTGCTAATTTATCTTTGACATCACAGGAATAAATTATATTTTTATATTTTAAAATAGAAAACAGTTATTTTAAAGCGTAATAATATTTCATAATATTATTGTCAAATAAAGGCAGCCCCCATGTGCTTAAGAGACTATAATTTAAAAGTTTGATATCAGTAAGATTTAAAATGTTTGTTAGTGTATATTTACTGGTTTAGTTTTTAAACATTATTGAAATTCGCATTTGTTTTTTTTTTCAAACAGTTTATATATGTATGTATGTGTGTATAAATGTATGCATGTACGTATATATATATATATATATGAAGAGTTCAGATGCAAAAGCCTCTAAATGCCATTTGAAATGTTCTTCTTTAATGATGATTTTTATCAAACTTGTATATTTAAGTTCAGTAATTTCACTTAAATGGCGATGATAATTACCTATTAATTGTTATTTAAGTAAAATTACTGAACTTAAATATACAAGTTTGGTAAAAATCATCATTAAAGAAGAAAATTTCAAATGGCATTTAGAGGCTTTTGCATCTGAACTCTTCATATATATATATTAGGGGTGTGCAAAGAAGCCGGTATTTGTATCTGTATTTGTATTTGTTCAGGGAGGAAAAGTATTTGTATTTGTATTTGTATTCGAGTAAAATTCAAAATAGGCATACAAATCTTTAAAAATACTTTATAGTGTATGGATTCTTTAATTATATCCATTATAATGCATATGCAATATTGGTTGATGTTTTTCTATAAATCCAGCAATGAACATGTAACAAGAAAAGTCATTGAAAAGAAAATAACAGTCATCCATTACCTCATGAACCATGGTTAAACCAACAACTAATAAAATACAATTGTGAACATTATGAACCCCAACACCACGGTGGAGGACGCTGTGCAGACAGAATAAGTTTAGGGATAATTTATAGTGAGGAAGTTGATTATGAGCCCGACGCGAAGCCTGAAGGGTTTGTATTCGCTGCCTCGCTCTACATTACCCCGCTTATTATATGGCTACCTAAATAAATCAATAATTTGACTCAAAATATGGATATAAAAAGGAGTTTGTGGATTTAAAAAACGATTGTATCGCTTCCGCTAAAGAAGAAAAATAGTCCGTTCTGTCTCTACGTTTAGAATCCATGTTAACGCTCTGTTTTTCATGGCAACGGTGTGTTATAATTATAAGCAGCGGCATGTTATAATAACAGACCGCATTCTACATTAGAATTCAACCAAGCCATATAAGAAACAAATAAACCGTTACCGAGCTAACAGAGCTACGTAAACGGAGCGAAAATGAGAGCACCCGTCTACAGACGTCAATATACTCCCGATCAAACTCCGCTTCCCGAAAGTTATAAACTGCCTCCGGAACCTAGTTAAGGTACAAACATCTATTCAACAAAAATAGTGATGCAGTTAAGTGTTTTTTTCGCTCAGCCGAGCCCTCTCTGTTGCTGTGTGGAGCAGCCTGTGTCAGTCACCTCTTCCTGAACGTCACTCACTCAACTCGCGCACTGCGGTCTCGTGAGGAAAGCAGCTTTTTGATATAAAGTAATTGTTGTTCCCGAATACAAATATATTTTTAAGTATTTGTTCGGAATAAGTATTCGTAAAAAACACATTATTTGTGCCTTTCCGAATACCGTATTCGGATTCGGCTCCACCCCTAATATATATATATATATATATATATATATATATATACTGTATATAGATAGATAGATAGATAGATAGATAGATAGATAGATAGATAGATAGATAGATAGATAGATAGATAGATAGATAGATAAAAATACAGTATATATACAGCATTCAGGAACTAACTACAAACTGTTTTATAAGATAGTTCTGTCACTTTGCAGGTTCTATTCCGACAGTGAAACCTGGGCGGTGCACACGCAGTTCTTGTGGGGAGCACACCTTCTCATCACACCTGTGTTGGATCCTGTGAGTGAACACACACACAAACACACGCTAACTGTGTTGTATGACTTCCTGTGTGCACATGCAGATGACCTCCTCTGGGACAAATGCGAGGAAGATGGGACTTTTTTTCCCCTCTCTCTCTTCATTTCCATCTCCTCCTTTTCTCTCTTTCTAATGAGTTCGTTGACCTCATTATGAAGAAATTAGAACCGAATATAGATCTCGGCCATGTGAAAATGGGTGATGAATTGTTGACTGAAACCCTTCATGTTCAAAGAGCTTCCCACGAGAACATGGCAAAAGGCCCGTTTTGAGAAAGTTTAATGCCCATACGTCAAGAGGCTAGAGTGTTGGGTTTATTTAAAATCTTTCGGGAGTGCATGTGATGAAAACACTTCAATCAGAAGGAAAATTCATATGCATCAGATGCATGAAAATGATAATTACTGGACCATGTGGTATGAAAAAAAGTTGTTAGGTGCTAAAACAAGTTGCGGGGAAGAAAAACTGCTGTTGTTTTTCATCTCGCAAGCATTCATTTAATGACACCCGACATCTAACTTGCAGATGAGTTGAACTTTGATCTACTCAACATGGCTTTTGACTAGGGAAATCTATTCCCACCTTCAGAGATTTTGTCATCTTAGCCATCTTTTTAAAGTGCTCAAATGTTTTCGAAAATATGTACATTTAAAAAAACCTCTTTGCATCAATGAATTGCATTTTAAAATTGCATAATATTTTACAAAATTAGTTTTTTAGCCATCACAGTAATAAATTACATTTTAAACTATATTTAAATCGAACTTTTATTTTAAATTGCAATAATATTTCACAGTATACTGTTTTTTTTTACTGTATTTTTGGTCATATAAATGCAGCCTCGGTGAGCAGAAGAGACTTAAACAAATCTTAGTGGGATCATAGTGTATTTATTTATTTGTTTGCTTGCTTGCTTGTGTGTTTGAGTTGTTTTATAGTTATCCCTAGGGTTTGGGATAAAGTTAAAAAGGACAAAATACATTAATAAAAATGTCCTTGGACCTTCTGCTGATTAGATTAGTTTAGTGACTAACTGTAGGCTGTTTATGTTTCCCAAGTGTTTACATTTACAGTTTTGTCAGACGTGTTAATCGGGTTCATCATTATTTGGAGTATCTCTCGTTTTTAGAAACACTGTTCCTGTCTTAAAGTCACCCAATTCCTCAGTTCAGATTGCTTTCAGCTTAATATGAATATCATATTAGAATGCCACCATCAGAAATGTACAGTTGGTTTTCCCTTAGGCACAGGCATGAATCATCTTTTCTTTTGGTTCGTTTGCTGCTCCTCTTTCTGTCAGCTTCTTTCTCTCCAATATCTCTCTCGTATTCTCTCTTTTCTGAAGCTTGAAAAAGCGTGACAGGAGGACCAAATCTCTTGGGGGAAAAAAACAAACAAAAAAAAACACCATCCCTGATGGCCTGCCCATTAGTTTAATGAATAATGCTCATTATTAAACCATTAAAATCATTTCTGTCATTATGTTCAACATGCACATTAGCATTTACGTCTTTAACACGGCTGATTCTTCTGTTTTAGGGTGTTGTGACTGTGGAGGCCTATATCCCAGATGCCGTCTGGTATGACTTTGAGACGGTAAGACCATCATCAAAATTGTATGTTTTTGTGAATTGTTTCAGCGAAATCTGTGCTTGAAACTTCGTCTCGAGGTATTCGTCTAAGCCCCTCTAGAGTGTGGTTAGTGCTCTAGCCAGATAGACTACGAGCGATCAGATCACTGATAGGATTGGTCCCTTGCGTCTATGTGTTGTGCGTCTCAGAACGGGTCGATTACAGAAGTCGTGATTGGCAAAGCAGGTCTTAAATGACCCTGATAGAGGAAGAGAGAGTTTGATGGAGAGGAGCTACACGGAGAACCTGATTGGATCTGAAATGACTTATGGATAGAGTGGAGACTCAGTGTCTGTCTCGGCATTGACCTAGTCGTCGCACAGTCAGAGAGAGAGAGAGAGAGAGAGAGAGAGAGAGGGGTGCAAGAGACGGGGAACTCAGCCAGTGTGAAACGAATCAACAAGATTCAATCAAGATGAATCAACAAGACTGAAAATATGCATGATAAGCTCAGTTTCTTTTGTAATATTATCGTGATTACAGTTATTACTGTAAAATCAATAATGAATAAATATGGGATCTATGTCAAACAGTGTAAGGAAATTTCAGATTATCTTTGTCTTGTTATGTGCTTTTTTATGAAAGTGATGGTGGTGAATACCAAGTTATCTATAAATTATGACTCTTATCCTAAATCTAATTTGTTGATTCTAAATAAATCTACATTTGAATTAAAGGGTTAGTTCACCCAAAAATGAAAATTCTGTCAGTATTTACTCACCCTCATGTTGTTCCAACCCCGTAAGACCTTCGTTCATCTTCGGAACACAAATTAAGATATTTAAGATATTACGATCGCTCCTGCATACAGTCCATAGGCTTCTTGAGGGACTGGCTCTTGCTGTCCCCGAAAAGTCATTAAAGACATCGTTAAAATAGTCCAAGTGACTACAGGGGCTCAATCTTAAGTTTATCAAACGAAGAGAACACTTTTGTGCGCAAAAAAAACAACTTAAATAACGACTTTATTTCAACTATTCACTTCCTTCTCCATGAGCCTGTAAGTCAGTTAACGTAGTGTGATTGCGTAGAGCTACGTCACACGTAGGCTCACTATTGGCCGACGCTGGTCATGTGTGTGTGATGCGTGTGACGTACAATAACAGAAGCTTACGCTATTAAACTAGTAACCTGACTCGCGCAGAGGGAGAAATAAACGAATAGTTGAAATAAAGTCGTTATTTTTGTTGTTTTTTTGCGCACAAAAGTGTTCTCGTCATTTGATAAACTTAAGATTGAGCCCCTGTAGTCACTTGGACTATTTTAACGATGTCTTTAATGACTTTTCGAGGACAGCAAGAGCCAGTCCCTCAAGAAGCCTATGGACTAGTATGCAGGAGCGATCTTAATATCTTAAATATCTTAATTTGTGTTCCGAAGATGAACGAAGGTCTTACGGGGTTGGAACAACATGAGGGTGAGTAAATACTGACAGAATTTTCATTTTTGGGTGAACTAACCCTTTAAAGGTGCCGTCTGGCAGTTAAAATCAAATCATACAACATATTTCATACCAGATGGGGGCAGTATACCTCCAGAAATACCTCCACGGCCACGCGCACTCTCATGTCTTCAAACAACACGGGCGAGCGCTGTGTTGCTCTGTCTCCCTCGTGCATATTAATCAAATCAATTGACACGATAGTAAAAGGATGGAAGATCGCAGTTACACGTGGAGCATTTGAAGATTTTTACAGATTAGAGACTAAATGAACAACATCTCAATACTAAATTATAAAGGCGGTGCATTTCGACGATATGGAAAATTAAAGCCCAGGCTATTATTTCTAGTTTTATGATATTCGTTTTGTTTATATTACATTTTTATCATTAGTTTTAATTATTTTGACAGACAGCATTCCCTGATGTGGACCAAGCTAGCGTCTTTCAGAGCTGCCAACTCTCACAACACTTTTCACACACTCTCACGCCACACATCAATTCTGTCATGCACAGAAAAGGACACGGAGAGCGATGTCAGCTCTCAGATTCTGTTCATTTTATTACGCAATTCAAACAATAAATACAGTATTGGCGCTTTACACGACAGATCCCTAACGCACGTGAACCGATCATCTCTACTAGGCTAGCTAATGGTAAAAGAACACGAACACATGAAAGATACAGTATGTTACAACACAACTTACCAAAATGTATTCCTCATGCATAATATCGACCAATCATTTTTTTAACTCTTCCCTGAACTGAAATGTAGTGGGCTGTATTTTCCACACGACTGACATCAGGTTCAAGTACACACAAGCCGCCGACTTACTCGTGTACATCAGTTTGGCTGGTGGTAATGTTGCCTGCCCGCATACTGCCTCCCATGGCTGAAACTGGTATTACGACACCTGCCAGGCCGGGGCTAGTAATTTAGCATACTAATTTAGGTTAATATCTCGGCAGCACTATAACTTGTCATTTTTTAAATGACATCATCAACCTTATTTCTTCTCATTCTTTTGATGCGTGTAGCTCATTTTTGGGATATTTTAACCTCAATCTTTACAGATGGCACCTTTAATACATTAAATTAACAAATATATGATGTAATTTAAAATGTATTACGTTTGTATATATATATATATATATATATATATATTTCACAGTTAGGTAAATACTATAGTCGCCATTATATTTTTTGTTTGTTTTTAAAATCATTTTAAGACTATCAAAAATAATTATTTATCATTTTTGTCTAAATACACTTGATTCACTTTTATTTAAATGCATTTAGTTGATAACTAAATATCTGCTATTATCTGCTTAATAAGCTTCAGGGACACATAATAATAATTACTGTACAATACTTTGAAGTTAACAGTGATTTTAAAAAAATAATGAAACTAATAAGCACTACCCTTCAAAAGTTTGGGTTCAAAGATTTCAATTTAACATGCTGGTTTGATGCACAATCAACGTTTATTCTTGATTCTATGATTTTTCTTTGATGAATAGAAAGTTTAGCAGAATTTGTTTGAAATAGAAATATTTATTATGAATAGAAATAACATTATAATTGCCTTTACTGCCAACTGCCTTTTAACTTTTGAATGGTAGTGTATTTTTTATAGTATCCATATATATATATATATATATATATCCATATCATCCATATGTAACATTCATATAAAGTGTATATACAAATACTGTTTTTATTTACAGTGCAATGATTTGATTTGCTTTGTAGGAGACACAGATTACAGAACGCAAAATGAAAGTTAACATGAATCTGCCTGAAGATAAACTTGGTTTACACCTGAGAGGCGGAGCCATTCTGCCTGTTCAAAGACCAGATGTTACTACCACATACAGGTAAATTACCTGTAAATTACCATACATCATTACCTGAGGTAATGACGGGTACCTCAAAATAATAAAATAAAAAATAAAAATAAAACAACAACAACAAAAAACATATCTGTAGACTTAACCTGACAATAGCATTAAATGGTGGAGAAAAAACTCTATTAAACCACTATTAAACCAATATAAAACCAATATTAAACCACTGTAACTGAAATCTCTTCATGAAAATACAGCCAATGCCTTTCATCCGCTTGCCGCTTTCATCAAATGGATCTGATGCCCAGTACAATAGTGTCCATGTTTTTTTTTTTTTTTTTTTTTTTTTTTTTTTAGATGCTTTCGTGTAGTTTTGTACATTTACCATTACACGACCATAATATTATTTAAGTTACCTTAGCATATGAATATGATCATCATTTTATTGTAAAAGTTTTTTTTTTTTTTTGCCTCTGTGTGTTTCAAAAATGTATCTTTTTTATTTTTCCTCTCAGAGGTAGTTCTGTGTTTTTTACATTAATCTAATTCCTGTTCAGCATGAGGCCTGAGTTTCCATTAAACATTACGGAAAATTTCTCTCAATAGCTTTTTTTTTTATTTTATAGCATTTTTATTTCCCTCTGAATATATCACACCTTCAACAATAGACATGGCAATTTTCTGTATCTCTCAAAGTATATTTTGGGGTGTGCTTGCACAAAAAATAGGGGTGACACACGAATGACTCACAAATACAAGGTGCAGTACAACTTATTTAAAATGCATCCCGCTTTGCTGTACGGTGCCTGTGACATGTTATTCACAAACAAGAATCCCATCTGAACTTCAAAGGATCCGTTTTCTATCTGCTTTTTTTTTTCTATCTGCTTTTCTGGTATTTTTTTTTTTTTAAAGTTGTACGTTTGTGTGATGAAAGTTATGTCTTCCCTCAGCCGACGTCATCCCATGGGACTGATCATCGCTCTCGATGACAACCAGGCTGCGTCAGGCGAGCTATTTTGGGATGACGGAGACTCTCGAGGTATTTTCGAGGGACTTGCTATTAATTAGAAGTTGTTGTTTTTTCTCTTTGACAGTTCACTGTCAGAAACAAAAATCTACCTTACATAGGGCTCAATAATATGGATGATTTTCTGCAAGCCCTGTTAAGCCAGAAATTCAGATTTATACTTATACTTCCAATGTTTTTTACTTAAAAAATATTTAATTCTTAGCTACATTTTTCTTAATCAGAACAAAATGCATTTGTATTTCATTTCAAGTTAAATTTTTTACTTTGCAAGAATATCTATAATTTAATCCCATGGCAAATATAAATGTATACAGTAAACAAACATTTTGCTTGGATTCATCCAAGACTTGTAAGTTCGAGAAAACCTTCTCGTCACTTTGGTTTTTACATTACCTGAATTAGCAACGTCCAAATGTTCAATTTATTAACATTGCGGATAAAAAAAAAAAATGTTAGAGTTTGCAAGGCATAACAATACATGGATATAAGCAACAAACTCAAGATGTAGTGAAAGTGCAACACTGGCCTAAAACGAATTCAAATTGATCACAGGTTTGTCCTTATTGTTGAGCCCTATAATAATCTTTTTTTAATGCTAAATGATTAGATCTACGCTATTGTTTCTTGAAAAAACAACAGATAACTCGTATTTATGTTTATTTGTCTCTCATAACTTATCTTTCTTAGACACTGTTTCATCTGGCTCCCACATTCACTACCAGTTTTCAGTGAATGAAGTATGTCATCGTAATGTCAATTTTTCTTTGTCAATTTAGATGCCATTATGTACAATATGTCCAAAAAGCAACATTAAAGTCATTTCTTTTAAATTACATATTGTAAAATTATAATCTGTATTAATATCTAATATTTTTTTTTTGCTGGATCAGGGTGTCTTATCAATGCACGTTGCACACAATGGATACACGGATCCAAACAACTTGAAGTTTGAGAACATCACTGTGATGGGAGTGAAAAGTGAACCCATTCTAGTGCTTGTGACTGAAGGTTCCACTAGTAACCCTCTGTTGTCGTCCCAGATTCAATACAATTCTACCAAACAGGTAATCATATTAACATCAAAGCTATCCATCCATCCATCCATCCATCCACAACAAATACTACCATGATACTTTTGCAATGAAAGTAATGGTATATATAATCATTATTATTTATTTATTTGACAGGGACAGAAGTGTTGCATTTAAAGTTTATAGCTATTGCTAATTTTCAACTCCAATTTTCAATATATGTATATATACATTATATATATATAAGATTTCCAATAAAAGTCAAGGTTTTCTCAATAAAAAGACCTCTGAAAATAGCTGTCCTTCTAAGGGCATCACAGAATTCTCAGAATTGTATGTATGTATTTGACAATTCGTAAAAATATCTCTGAATGAAGTAAGAAAATGCAAATGAAAAAAAAAAAAAAGCCAGTCCAACAAACCATGTCCACAAAACAGAGCCTGACTTGTGTTTAATACGGAGCAGGATTCCTTAGGGTACCAGCAGAAACCCTGTCATTCCAAGTGAGTGTCTAGGTATGCTCGCGGACCAGTGATTGAGTTTGTTGGGTCTCTCAAAAGCACATACATATTAGGCTATGTTGAAGGGCATTGCTTTCTCTAAGAGCTCTAAGTCTTGGAATGACAACATGAGGATGTGTGGACTCCGGTCTTAAACTACTGTACATAACACATTAATATCAGCTGCTCAAAGTAACACGAAGAGACTTGTGAAACAATATTTGTTATTCACATCCTTTAACTAGAGGAGTCATTGGCGCCATAGGATCCTGATTTAAATACACCTGCTGTCTTTTGTGTGATATAAATCATTGGGTGTTTGGGGTCTGCTAGGTGATGTATTTGAGGAATCTGGAGCTGGAGCTTGGGAAGAACTATACGGTCAGCTGGGATTCCACATCCACTGGAAATTTCGACTGCCACCCTGAATTTGGCGTCGATGAGTCCAAATGCAAAGCCCGCAACTGCATCTGGCAGGTCAGAGGATGAAATTTGTTTTCAAAGAGACTGATTTGTCTAAAGTCTATATACAGAAAGGCTATTTATTGTATTTCCTGTTATTGTACTTTTTCCGCTTTTGCTGTAACGTAATTGCTCCATATGTTTTTACTCTATTTTGTAGCCTTTGAATTTCCCCAAGTGTTATTATGCCGCGACCCACGGCTACACATCCAGCAATGTCGCTCAAACACCATCTGGCATCAATCTAGATATTAACATCAATGGTGCTTTCTCAAGTCAGCGTTCTCTATCTCGAGACATCCCTAAGCTACGTGTGGAAATCACATACCTTAGTGAACACAGCCTACGTTGGAAGGTATGGTTTTAAATTTTCAGATTAAGACAAAGACAATGACTAAACATACAATTTAAATGCATGCATTTGGCAGACTCTATTATCCAAACAACTTAGGTTGCAATCAAGAAACACTGTGCTTTGTACATGCTCTCCCTGGGATATTGAAGGAATTACCCTGGTGTAACCTCGCTCAATTGTTTGAGCAACAGCATTTTTTTTCCTGTTACGAAAGGAAATGCATATATTTAATATTAAGATAAAGACTAAGATTGTTTTGGTCCTGTTTGTGTAGATCTATGACCCAGAGAATGCACGCTTTGAGGTCCCCATTCCCCTCAATCTACCTACACCAGAGACAGAAGAAGCCAAGAGAATGTATAAGGTCGAAATTAATACAAACCCATTTGGGATCCAAGTGATCAGAAAAAGCACAAGTGAAATGATGTGAGTAATATCCCTGAATTACTATGATTACATGGAGTCCAAAGAGGTTCTGGCATGTAAATCAAGTTTTAGTTTAACATTTGTGTAAATCGATAAGGGAAAGAGTATATGAAGAGTTCAGATGCAAAAGCCTCTAAATGCCATTTGAAATTTTCTTCTAAAATGACCATTTTTATCAAGCTTGTATATTTAAGTTCAGTAATTTCACTTAAATGACAATTAATAGGTAATCTTCATTGCCATTTAAGTGAAATTACTGAACTTAAATATACAAGCTTGATAAAAATGATCATTTTAGAAGAAAATTTCAAATGGCACTTAGAGGCTTTTGCATCTGAACTCTTCATATTTTATCTGACTGGACGTCACTTTGTCATACATTTATTTGTAAACATTTTGCATTTACATTTATGTATTTAGCAGAGATTTGTCCAAAATGACTTGCATTGGATTCAGAGTATACTTTTTGCCAATATATCATGCATTGCCTGGGAAATTAATCCATTACCTTTTGAGTCAAATAAATTGCATAATTTTACTTTTTTTGATATATTCAATAAAATAGATATGCTATATATTGTGTTAAAATCATGCATAAAAAAACAAGACAAAATGCTATTTAAAACCATTTTAGATTGAGCTTATCTTGTCAAAGTTCCCAAAGGTATTACAGCTGCAAAGTAATTGAAGAAAGAAAGCAACAAAGAAGCAGTTTTGTAGATGAGCACAGGAGTTTAGTGCAGAAATAGCAGTGCTGATGATGCACTTTTTTAGGGGTTTCAGGGAGTTTAAGGACTATAAATGCACAGTTTGCTTTCTTAATGAAGGGAACTTGTTTTTTTGAAAGGCAGAAAACATCTTGAGTGTTCTCAATGTTTTGTTAAATCTCATTCTCTCGCTAGATGGAACTCTGCTGTGCCAGGCTTTACATTCTCCGATCAGCTCCTTCAAATCTCCACACTGCTCCCCTCAAACCATGTCTATGGTTTTGGTGAAACAGAGCACCCCAGCTACAAACATGACCTCAACTTTCAAAAATATGGCCTGTTTGCGAAAGACCAGCCTCCAGGGGTGAGTGTCAGAACCAATGGTGATGTTTTACAAGCCTTCCTGCATTGATATGCCATCCACACTTCACACATCACTTAACTCAGTTGACGCGAGTGTATAGCTTGGACCTGGTTTAAGGCCAATCTAAGTCATGCTGAACAATAATAATCTCTCAGACATATATATATATATATATATATATATATATATACAGTATATATATATATGAAGAGTTCAGATGCAAAAGCCTCTAAATGCCATTTGAAATTTTCTTCTTTAAAGTCCCCGTGAACCGGAAGTTGCAAACGATTTTTCTCCAGTGCTGTGACGTATTTCCAAGTGAAACGGAATATTGAACAGAGGGCAGGGTTTTACTCTAGCGCTCCTCCTCTCCATCTCTCGCTCATAGCAAACTAACGGTTTGAGGGGAGTGGTTAAGCGTTTCCCCACCCAAACTGTGAAACCTACGTCATCAGAAAAAGAAACCGTTCCAGACCGGAAGTAACTTTTCAGATTTTGATTAAAGATTACTAAGGTAAAACATTTTTTTAATATATATTCACTTGCACGGATTAATTGTTCACCACAAGACTAGTAATATGCGCTAACAAAGTAAATAGGTTCAATTTTGATTTCACGGGGACTTTAATGATGATTTTTATCAAGCTTGTATATTTAAGTTCAGTAATTTCACTTAAATGGCAATGATAATTACCTATTAATTGTTATTTAAGTGAAATTACTGAACTTAAATATACAAGCTTGATAAAAATCATCATTAAAGAAGAAAATTTCAAATGGCATTTATTTATTTTTTTATTTAATCAGTTTAAAGTTACAGGGACCATGCACATTAATAAACGCTTGCGTAAATGTGCCAGTTTAGCCATCTTGGCTAATTTTCAACTGTAGTCACTGGGCAGATGTAATAACCGATAAAATACATTCAAACTATCAACAATACTTATACATACATAGAAGCTCATAAAATACATTCAACAAGAACAACAAATCAAAACATGATTAAGATGATTTAAAACTACAGAATATGGGTACACACTTGATTGTCCTTTAACCATGATTTTAATTTAATCTTAAACAGCCCATATGAAGCAGTGTCTTTAATAGATGTAGGTAAACTGTTCCAAGTGTGAGCTGCTCTCACAGAAAAAGCTGACTGACCAAAGGCAGTTCTTCTCATTTGTATTACACAATCCCCTCTTGTTACAGACCTTGTATGTCTAATAACAGTAGTTTTTTGTTTTATAAAAGCAGTTAATGGTGGGGGAGCTAAGCCATGTAAAATTTTAAAAACAAGACAAGAGTCTGTGAATTTAATAAGATTATCCCAAGTCATTAGATTGTGTTTTTTTAGACAGTGGCAGTGATGATGGGTATTAGGCTTCCTATCGAGTACCTTAGAAGCTTGATGGTACAGTAACTGCACATGTTTAAGGGTTGTGCTGGAGGCTTGTGCCCAGCTAGTCAAACAATACAAAAAATATGGCATAATCATAGCATTAAAATATATTGTCGCTGCCTTTGTAGTCAGACAATTTCTTATATGACGGAAATTTGACATGTGAAATTTAACTATATTTATAACTTTTTTAATTTGTTTTTTAAATGTTAAATTCGAATCAATGATTATACCTAAATATTTGAAATCAGATACCATTGACAGTTGTTCCCCTGCAATATAAATATTTGCTACTGAATTGTCTGTTGACTTCTTTGTGAAGTACATACATGCAGTTTTCTTTATATTTAAATAAAGACAAGAATCACTAAGCCATTGCATAACACTTTCCATCACTGCCATGAGCTTATAGGCTGCTTCCTGTTTGTCCAGCGCATGTACATAAATGACAGTGTCATCTGCATACATTTGAATCTCAGACTCAGTGCATACAGTCGGGAGATCATTTATGTACAGGCTAAACAACAACGGCCCCAAAATTGATCCCTGAGGTACACCAATGTTACAATTAATGGCCGATGATACCTCATCGTTTATCCTAACCCTTTGTTCTCTGTGTTCCAGATAAGACTGCATCCATTTTATTACATTAGGAGAGACATTAAACATTGACAGTTTTTTTAATAGGACACCATGGTCCACAGTGTCAAACGCTTTTTTTAGGTCTAGGAATATAGCCCCAACAACTCCTCCTTTGTCTAACTTTGATTTCACATTCTCTACAAAAAAGCAGTTTGCAGTTTCCGTTGAATGATTCGATCTAAAACCAAACTGCATAGGATGGAGTGTAAATGGGCTGTTACTAAGGTAGCTAGTGAGTTGTTCTACTACATATCTCTCAATTACCTTTGACACAATAGGTAATATACTAATTGGTCTGTAGTTACAGACCTTTGAAGTATCACCCGTTTTGTGGATCGGTGTTATTATAGCTGTCTTCCACGCTTTGGGATAAATTCCTTCATTAATGGATCTATTAATAATATGTGTTAATGGACTAGACAGACATTCATTAAACTCTTTTAAGAACATTGTGTCCAGTCCATACACGTCTTTAGCTTTGGAATTTTTTAGGGAACTTATTATTCTTGTCACTTTAGCTTCGGATATTTCGTGAATCTCAAATACAGGTTTATCGTAATTTACAGGCACCATGGGTAATGGATTGGTAGATTGATTATGTATCAGTGATGATACTGATTCTACAAAGTATGAATTAAAAGCTGATACTATTTGAGCATCATCCTGTGTAATACTATTATTTATATAGATTTCAAAACGCTGTTTATTACCACTATGATGTTTTCCTGTCAGCCTCTTTATGTTCTCCCATATTAGTTTGGTATTTCCCTTTGCTTGATCAATAACATTAAAATAAAAATTTGCTTTTGCTTTCCTAATCTCCTTTGTAACCTTATTTCGTAGTCCTACAAACTTTAGTCTGTCAGTTGCTAATTTTGATTTTAAGGCAGCTTTCAATGCTGAGTCTCGTTCTTTCATCAGGTTATGCATGTCACTAGTTAACCATGGAAGATCTTTTTTTTTCCTGTTGTCGGGTTTAGTTCTCCTTAAGAAGTTATTCATTGTCCGTTGAATTGTGTGGAAAAAGATCTGACAGTCAGAGTTGACATCAGAGTAAGAAAGTAGGCTATTCCATTCTATTCCTTTTATTGCATTTTCAAAGTCATTTTGTTGTCCCTTGGGTATTCTGTGGTGACTAGGCTTATTTACACCACAATTAGAACGCATATTTGACAGTTTCCTAACTCCTAGTGTCAAGTTATGATCCGATAGCCCGGTAACCAAATTGAATGTTTTAACCATTCTCTCTGGTTTATTACTAAATATCAGGTCTATCAATGTTTTTGAACTCTGTGTTATTCGTGTTGGTCCCTTAATTAATTGCGTCATGTCAGAAGTATCTATAATTCGTTTTAGAGCATTTCTTTTATTTTTATCTCCCAGTTTATGTTAAAATCCCCATTAAAATAACCTCTTTCCAGAATTACATTCTTTTAAAATACTCTTTAGTTGGTCTAAAAACAAAACCAATGAGGAAGAGGGTGGTCTATATAGACCAATGAGGTTAAAGGACATTTGTGGAGACAATGTAACATTAAGCCCGATGCATTCAAGCCCATCATCATGCTTCCACTGGATTTGGCGGCAGTTGATGTTATCTCTAACATAAAACATCAAGCCCCCACCTCTTCCGTTAGGCCTGTCTCTCCTAAATATATTGTAGCCTGGGACACTTAATGCTGCACTTGGAGAGTTTTTATGTAGCCAGGTCTCTGATAGGCATAAGTAATCCAAATTAGAATCTACCATAAGATGTTGAATTTGTTCACATTTCCCTGTGATACTACGAATTTAGAGGCTTTTGCATCTGAACTCTTCATATATATATATATGTCTGAGAGATTATTATTGTTCAGCATGACTTAGTGAAAACAATGTTAAATTTGTTTATTAGTTGTCTGTTTGCACTGTCTGTCTGTTTATTTTAGTTGATTTTCATATTAAAGTTGTTATTAAAATCTGTTCTTTAATTGCTGCATATGTGTGGCCTTCTAGAGAAAAAAAATGGGGAAAAAAATGTAAACTAATACAATTAGTACAAAAGATAATGTATCAAAGGTACTTTAAATACAAAAGATAATGTATCAGCATATGTACAGTATATTTTGCAATCAGCATATTACAATGATTTCTGAAGGATCATGTGACACTGGATATATATATATATATATATATATATCACAATATTACTGTTTTGACTGCACTTTATATTTAATTGGAGACATGGACCTGCCTTCTGATAGTATCTCTGCTCCCAGGAGTGATCTTAAAGGAATTGCATTTGACTCATATAAGTAGATTTTAAAAAGTGACATACAAATGATTTACTCTATTGCAGTAAAATTCTTCCATCTCTCGGCTGAGGCCTACTAACCACCCTGTTATTGTCAGGGTTATGTTTGGTTTAGTAGTCTCATTGGCTGTGTCGGTAGGTAGTACATCCCAGACTACATTTGTAAGTGGACTCCTATGGATATGAAATGGGCTGAAATTTCGGCCTCGTATGGGATTGCCTGCTTGTTCCATAATAGCCCCATGTTAACTGCCCATATGGATTTCACATAGAATTGCACATGCCACTAGGTGGGACCCAACTGGGCAACATGTGCAGAACACATCTCGGTCCCAGCTTTATTTGAATTTGAGTTTACTTTGCAGCCGTTTAAAAGGTATGCTCTATATAGAATGAATATAGGTAGTATGAATGAAATTGGGATTTACTGCATCCGCCATGTTGATACCATCACTTGACCTACCAGCACCAGCTGTGTTGCTTCACTTCCATTCATAAATATCTCCTGTAGCCTCATGGGATAGTAAAGTGTCCATCGAATGTGCACTTTCGAATCTCGGCAGAAGTAGCAGGTCATCCGGAGAGTTCTCGCCTGCTGTTTTTCAAACTCTCTGTATTTGTATATTCTACTATTTTGGCTTAAAGTTATTCGCATACTATATAGTAGGGAGGTATTCCATTTTGAATGCAGTGATTGTTTCTGTGTTCATGTTTCTTGTGCTTCAGGTTAGTTCTCTTTCATTGGTTAATTATTAGGTCCTCTATATTTACGTATTAGTTTTTTACACATCATGTAGAAATTACCGTAATTTTAACAAGTAAAAAGTGCTCACGTCTTGTACAGCTTATAATTACAGCTTGTAAATTGGGACTTTTCTGTGAGCTCCTACTTGACCACTGCAAATTCATTTAGCTACGTATAGTGTCACCAAAGAAACGCATAATTCCCAGTCCGAGGATGTGAAGTGAATAGCTCCCCAGATAGCAAACTGACATTGAATCAACGTGGAAATATGACATCGAAACAACGTTGATCTGACATTGTTTTGCTCATCGAATTAACGTTGAACCAACGTCAGACGCGTCATTCTTTCAAAACTAACGGAAAATCAACTTGAAATCAACGCGTTGTTTCAACGTTATGAAAGCAAACCAATTTTCGATTTTCATTTAGCTTTGAAGAATGCCGCGTCTGACGTTGGTTCAACGTTAACTCGATGAGCAAAATCAACGTTGTTTTAATGTCATGAGAGACGTCGTTTCCACGTTGATTCAATGTCAGTTTGCTGTCTGGGTCAGAATAGAATGTCACTTGTTGTCATCTCAAGCCTACGGCAATAACAACAGGGCGTGATCACAGTATACCTTGTGCAGTATATATAGTCTTGTGTTTGTCGGTTCTCGTATTTGTCTAAGGAATATGCTGCTTGTTCATTAAAAGCTATTTGTATTCATTGCCTAAATAGAGCGTGTTGGAAAGCCACGCTATTGAATGACACAGTTATTGGTTGTCATTCATCCATACTGGACTCACTAACAGCCTTATTCTCTGACTCACTTCATGACACAGAGAAAGGGAAGTAAAAGAAAGAGCTACATGAAGGAAGAGAGAGAGATGCAATTACGTTAATGAAAACAGAGAGATGGGATTTGCAAGGTTCATTCCTTTAAGCCAATAAAAATCTCTCATTGACACTTAATTGTCTGTTTAACACTGAGAACATCTGAAATCGCATCACAAACTCTAATCTCTTTCTCCTCATCTATAGTATAAGCTGAACAGTTACGGTGTCCATCCCTTCTATATGGGTCTGGAGAAATCAAAAAATGCACATGGTGTCCTTCTGCTCAACAGCAATGCCATGGGTGAGTACAACCAAAATACTGTATACGAAACATTGTGTCTACTTGTACCCACCAGCCACAACCTGTTTTGTTTTTTTTCCTTTGTAAGCTAAACCAGTTTAAGATGATTTGCTAGTTTAGCGGACTAATTGTTCCCATTTAAAAGTACAAAAACAATACTCTGATCAGAAAACCAGTTTAGGCTAATAGGCTCATAGGCTTTGTTTTTCAGATGCAGATTAAAATTAGAAAAATGGATATATAGATAAAGATATAAACTATGTTCCTCCACCTAGTGTGCAGAATGTAAGGGATTATGGACACGCCCAATACTAAATGATGTTTTATTAACAAAGTTCGGGAGGAGCGCGTTTAAATGCATATATAGCCGACTCACCTACGTTCCTCGACTGTCTTTTCTGCATCCCTCCGCCACCCTGTCTCCTCACTCTTGGCTAGTTCTGATCCCAGCCAGAGATACAGGCTGCCTCATCTGCCGCTGTATTATGATGCTGTAATACACCTCATTGAGAAGAAAATCCCACAATGCATTGGGATGAATCGAGAGAAACATCCCAAAGTTCCAAATTAAGTTTTTCTTAATGTATTAACCACTGCAATTGTGTGCCCTTCAATTTTTACGTAAAGAGCATTACTGTATGTCCGAGAACAATGTTTTTATTGCCTATGTATGAGCCTAAACTTGGCTAAACTAGCTGCATCTTTAGTACTGGAGCAAATAAATTTCATCACTGGCTCCAACACTGACGGGAGTTTGTCAGCAGGTCTTTAGGTCCTGATTAGAGCAGGTGCAATTTATCTGAAGCGAGAGGCTGTCGTTGAGCTTTTGTGTGAGAAGGTTATGATGATTGCAGATCTTTCTCTTGAGCTGCTTTCTCATAATGGTGTGCTGCAGCATGGCTTTTAACCGAGTTGTGCTCTCAGAAAGTGTTCTGCATTCAACTGCTGTCTCACAAGTGCTCACACACATGTTTTAATTCTTACATAAACGCACACAACGCAGGCAGTAAATGAGCATCCTGAAAAGCGCAGCAGGATAATAGCTTTGATGTGGTTCACTTTACCAAGAGAAGTGCCCTTTAATTTGAATGCAGACGTTTAATTCCTCACTGCATACATAACGAAATGGATAGTAAACTTGACATAAACGGTAAAGTTGTCCCTCAAATCTGATTGGTTAATTGGAATGTTATTCCAGCTTCAAAAAATACGTCGATCCATGAACATGTACTTAGTGAAATCAATAGCCAATAATGTTAAGTCACAATTGGCAGCTTGTGCATGGACAAAAGCAATGAAGACACTTTTAAAATGAATAAATTAAAGCCAGTTACTTTGCAACTAATTTGTGGTTAGAAAAGAAAATAATTTAAAAATTAGTTGCTCCTGTAACACATTATGGAACCAATTGACTTTCATAGTATGGAAGAAATACTATGGATGTCAATGAGGCTCATCAACAGTTTGGTTACCCATATTCTTCAAAATATCTTCCTTTGTGTTCAGGAAAATAAATACATTAAAGGGTCAGTTCACCCAAAAAATGAAAATTCTGTCAGTATTTACTCACCATCATGTTGTTCCAAACCTTTATGTGTTTATTTGTTCTGCTGAACACAAAGGAAGATATTTGGAAGAATGTTTTAATCAAACAGATTTCAATCCCCATTGACTACCATAGTATGTATTTTTTCCTACTATGGTAGTCAATGGGGAATGAGATCTGTTTGATTAAAACGTTCTTCCATATGTCTTCCTTTGTGTATAGAAGAAAAAATAAACACATAAAGGTTTGGAACAACATGAGGGTGAGTAAATACTGACAGAAAATTTTATTTTTGGGTGAACTAACCCTTTAATACAGGTTTGAAACAACATGAGGGTGAGTGATCACAGTTTTTTTTTTCTATTTTGGCTGAGCTAAATGCCTTTAAAACCACAAAACATTATCATATACTGTGTTCAATGTGCTCTGTGATTTACTGTGATTGCTCTGGTATAATATTGTTAGAAGGAATCCATCAACTATTGCCGTTAAGAGATTGAAAGTGTGGGTGGGTAAAAAATGAGATGAGGCGACACATTGAGTCACAAAGATGATGTAATCTCTCTTCTTGTTTTGTTGTTGCTTGTTTTCCTCTTAGATGTGACCTTGCAGTCTACTCCAGCTCTGACCTACCGCACCATTGGAGGGATCTTGGACTTCTACATGGTGATAGGACCTACTCCAGAAGATGTGGTTCAGCAGTACACTGAGGTGTGTGTGTGTGTGTGTGTGTGTTATTCCTGGCTTTCTGAGGTTTAGCAGCTGGAGTCTATATGCCTCATTGCCCACAGTGTACTCAATCTAAACACACACACAAAATAACATCCAAAAAAACTCACATGCATAAATGAAATACATAAATATTTATCTAAAAGAAGTTTGCTTGTCACATAGACAGAAGGGGCCATTCGATTATTTTAAGCCACTTGAATATTTATGGTCTAAAATGTATTTGCATAAAATGTTAAATATTTTTCTCTCGTTTTGTGAATTTTGTCTGACAGTTGATTGGCCGCCCGGTTCTTCCAGCCTATTGGTCACTTGGATTCCAGCTCTGCCGCTACGGCTACGCCAATGATACAGAGATCGCAGATCTTTACAATGACATGAAAGCTGCTGCAATTCCTTATGTAAGCGATCTCATCTTTGAGTGTGAGCATGTGTGTCTTTGATTTATCCCCCTGAACGCAACCATTAGCACGCTTATGTAACTCTCGCCAACCTTCAGAACTTTCATTTGAACTTCAGGAATATTACATTACTTGATGTAAATCAAGCAGTTATTTGGCTGTTATGTGCAACTTGAATGACAACACATAGTAATTGTCATAGTAAAGGCCAGATTTACAGCTTACGCCAGCTCAAACCCTCTTTTGGCATAAAAAAAAATGACTGTCCAGATTTACTAAAGACATGCAGGGCAAAATTAGCGCTGAAAATTTCAGCGTTGTTTGAGAGTTGAGTTATTGAGTTTGAGAATAGAGTTGTTTGCATATGCATTTGTAGAAGTTTCCCAAATTTGTGGGTGGAGAGTATTTAAATGCAACGCGATTGACTAATGTTTGCTCTAGCTTGTTTGTGCTAGCTGGTATTTGCTCCATTATTTAACACCTCAAAAAACATGTCTTAACCCATTTCGCGACATGGCTTCAATTGTTGCTTCTAAGAGGAGACACAACAGAGAACAGAGAGCACATGGTAGAAGGGGGAAAATAATTTCAACTCGTATTGATTTCTTTCTCTGGAAGAAGACGTAATATGAACATATCGTTTACCAAGCCATGTTAATTTTAATTTGCTCCATGAAAAAAAAGTCGACTTGGAACCCTCAACTACAAGGAGCTACAAGGTGCTGTTCTTGGTAGATTGCGTTGGTCATTATATAAATTATTTGACTGAGTTCTTTAATTTGTGCTTCAGCAGTCGATCACATGCAAAACTTGCCACTCCCATTGGCACATTTGTAGACTTGCACTCTCACACTAATTTGCCCCATTTAGTCAATCTGGCACTTAAAGTGGTACAAGGAGTGAGTTAGAAACTCGTTTATTGGCAGTTATTTCTAAGACAAGCATCACTTGTAGGATTTGAATGAACCCCCAACACCATGTATTAAAGTTCATCATGTAGATTTCCCTGCTCCATTTGTGTTACTGATAAATGTGCGGCTTGTTTAGAAGTCTGCTGTTGCTTCTACAAGGCAATTTTTGCTAAGCATATGATAAAATTGTGAAAATTTCCAATAGACTCTTGACATGGGCCAGTTCACGAGTTCGCCTGCCCGTTCAATCTTAATAGTTAATGGTAATGCCATTGAAGGAGGCTCGAATCTGAGGCTCGGCTTGAGCTCTGAGCTAAACCCCCACAATAACAGTCAATGAGACCAGAAACTGTCTGGTTACTGAAATTCTTCTAAATATCAGAGAATCGTCTGAATGCATTAGAAAACGGTAAAACTCAACTATTTAACTATGGGGGAGTTGTAAAATGAGCCTATTTCCAAAAAAAGTGGAGTATCCCTTTAAGTATCCACCTGTCATCTACATACCATCACACTGCCTGCATTTGCAGTAAAGTTTCATGTTTCAAACCAAAGCATTGATATATTTGCTCACGATATTTGACATTTGATCCCTTAAAGGATGTGCAATATGCAGACATTGACTACATGGAGAGGCAGATGGACTTCACACTGGACCAAAAGAACTTCAATGGACTGCCTGCTCTGGTGGACAAAATGAGGGCTGAGGGGATGCGTTTTATCTTCATTTTGGTATAAGCAGTTCTCAATTACTGGAAAAAACAAAGTTGTTATCATAAAGTGGTAATGGACGTTTAACTGTAATGAGAGCATAAATATGGATTGATGTAGTCTTACATCAGTCTGGTCTTATTCTGGCCAGGCGCATGCTGTGAGATGTATTTTGTACCTTGTCAGAACTCCACGCTTTACTTGTTTGTGTGCTTCAGGACCCAGCCATAGCGGCCAATGAGACGCAAGACTACCCTGCGTTCCGACTCGGGATGGAACAAGACGTTTTCATCAAATGGCCTTCTGAGCTCAGCAGTGACATTGTATGGGGAAAGGTATGACAAACAAAAAAAGGAAGAAGAAAACGTGTTGATTGTGAGTCAATACCTCATAGTTCGCCTTTGCTTATGGAGAGTTTGTCCATTAGTTTACATACAAACGATTTTTAGATAATATCAATTTTTTCAAACAGGATGGATGTTTAGAGTGAAACAAACCACACAACAAGCACTAAATCCATAAAATCCATTGCCATTCCTTACTAATGTTTGTGCTGTTGTTTTCTTTCCAAAAATGATGTCACTTCCTAGAGGACGATGTCATTATGTTTTGTTATGCTGTATTCCACAGGACTAAACATGAATTTCCCCAACTCCTAATTGGAAATAACCACTGGAATAACACCTCAAATTAATGAACCCTCTTCATCAGTGATATATCAACGTCATCTCCAAAATGGTGTTGACTGAAGCAGAAGTGTTTTGTAGCCGGAAAAATTAGGAACTCAGAGTTTCTGAACTGAAAAAGTGATAATGAAGACATTTCAGGAAAAAAAAAAAAAAATATATATATATATATATATAACTTAATCACAGAATAAAACCATATTCCTAAGAAATATTTCTTTGAAAAGTTTTGATTTTAGATATCTAATGTATATCTAATGTTTTAAGACATAGTATGATGATCTAGTATGATGGGGACATGTACTGCAGTGAGGAGTGATCCTTCTAGTTTAGACTTACCTGGAACACAGATTTGAGCTGTTGTTTGTGTCTGTTATAGGTGTGGCCTGACTATCCCAATGTCACTGTGGACAATTCTTTGGACTGGGATACTCAAGTAGAGGTATATGCCCCTCACCCCCTCCCTCCTCTTTCATCCCTTCTCCCTTTCTCCCTTTAATCAGAGAATCAGACACATTTGTCTCTTGTTCCCGCATATGCAACTCTATTCATGCTGAAATCATCAGTACAATGGACTATAATTGCAAATGCAGTCAAGAAAGATGACTGTGACATCTTAGAATACCATCATCCAATCGGCATGTAGAAGACACATTATCTGCCAATGAGCACATTGTACCATACTGCTAGTATTATTTTATATCACCCACTAGTATATCAGCCAATCAGCATGTAGTAAACAAGTCACATAAAGTCAAGTCAAAGCAGACCCACTGCTATAAAAGTGAATCAGCACATTATTTAAACAAATGAGCATTTTTAGTGGCTCTACTGTAATATCCAATTACTGAAGCAACAACCATAGCAATGGTTAAAGCACTTTGCCCAAGTATAAAAATAGTTAAAGCACAATTATTAAAATGTATTTCTCATTTCTTCAACTTTCAGCGATTCAGATCTTTCGTGGCATTCCCTGATTTCTTCAAGAACAGCACATCACAGTGGTGGCAGAATGAGATTAAAGACTTTTACAACAACATCATGAAATTTGACGGACTTTGGATTGTGAGTGCTTTGTCATTTTCATATTTAATCTTGGAATGCAGAGTAAAGCAATTTCAATAATTACAATTGAGCAAGATGTTCTTTGAGGACATTGTGTTCACTGTCCATGCATATCGTACCACTGCACAACATTAGTTGCTCTTGAAACAACATAACCCTAACCATAACAATTCAATACCCATAAAATCAATTGTGAAATATTACATTACATGCATTGTCAAATACAACATTAAGAATGTTGTTGAAACAATGGTGTTGATTCAGAAAAACAAAAAACAAAAAAACATGTCCTATTGGAGAAAGTCATGGCTCAAGGGAAGCAACAAAAACAAGGGACACACGCAAACCAAATTATAGGCTCAAAAATAATGTTTATTTAACTACAAATAATAAGACAAAACAGAATAATGAAATGAAAACAATTAAAGAAAATAAAAGTGTTTCTGTAGTAATCAGCAAAATCAGTGTGTAGAGCACGGTGCATGGTTGAAAGGGTAATGCAATGTTGAGGTTTGAAATGTGAATGCAAAAAGCAACAAAATACAACGCAAGCCAAACACCAAAGCAAAGTCCGCAACCAAAGAGCCCTCCTTCCTTGGCTCAGATGGTGATCTTTTAAGCGTCTAAGGTCACAGGTGTTTCCATTGAGGCAATTAGGCCATTTGATGCAATTAGCGGGCTCAGGTACCAACAGCAACACTCAAGACCAACAGCAGGGGTCGTCACAGTAAGCATGCAATGAGTGAAGGTTTAGCATGGCCACACCCATTGTCTATGTACATATGCATATAATCAATGTTTTCATCCTTTGCTTCATTGTCATTGACATTTCCTTTCTGAAGGACATGAATGAGCCAGCCAGTTTTGTGCATGGCACCGTTGGAGGAAAATGTCTAGGGGATCCCAATTTAGAAAATCCTCCATATATGCCCCGTAAGTTCCAATGTGTCCCCTGACATGCATACATGGCTAGAGAAATTTTTCAACACATGTATTTAGCACTGTGCATCTGAAATGAATCTGCTCATATCAATACTTATTCCCAGCACTGGAGTCCATGCATATGGGTCTCAACCATAAGACTTTATGCATGAACAGCGAGCAGATCCTTGCTGATGGCAAACGTGTCAAACATTATGATGTCCACAACTTGTACGGCTGGTCTCACACTGAACCCACTTATAAGTGAGTTTTCTGTTCATCCATATTCACTAATGTGTTTATTTCTTGTTTTTTGGGGGTTTTTTTTCTGGAATGAGTTTTAACTTCTGTGTGTGTGTGTGTGTTTATGTGTATGTAACAGAGCTTTGCTTAATACCACTGGCAAGAGAGGTGTCGTAATTACCCGTTCAACATACCCATCTAGTGGTCGGTGGGCAGGACATTGGCTGGGAGACAACTACTCTGCCTGGGACCAGCTTCTGAAGTCCATCATTGGTATGAGTTTATTTATTTGTGGTTTTTGGGAAAATGCTGTTCTTTTAAACTTTTTAATTAACAAAAATTCTAGCAGTGTTGGGAAAGTTCTACATGAACTAGTTCAACGCTTAGTTCACACATTTTACATTTACATTTATTCATTTAGCTGACGCTTTTATCCAAAGCAAATTATAATTGCTGTATATGTCAGAGGTCGCAAGGCTCTGGAGCAACTAGGCGTTATGTGTCTTGCTCAGGGTCACATTGGTGTCTCACAGTGGATTCGAACCTGGGCCTCTCCCACCAAAGGCGGGGAGTCTTATCCACTGCGCCATCACCACCTGTATTTTAAAATGAACTAGTTCAGTTTATAGTTTTTTTTTTCTATATGTTGCTGCGAGTTATCTTTATTTATTTATTTTTTTTAAATTATTGCCACAATCCATAAACAACCACAGACAGCAATTATTTTATCGGCGGGCAAAGTTTGCACAGACATGTAAGATTTTTCGCATCCTCACCGACCTTGTCTTAAAGGGGGGGTTGACTGCTTTTTTTCTTTGCATGGTTATGTGTATGGGGTGGAATATAACATGTATTTGTGGTTTTTCTTTTTTAAAAAGTCTTATTTTTCATAAATTTCACCTTTTTTGTAAGCCGCACTCTCCTCTGACAGGAGAAAGATCGGTTGACTTCCCGATTCTATGAAACCACTCATTCAGAAACAGGCAGTGGGCTCAGATTGGTTAGTTTGGGCCGGTGTGTGGTGATTGGCTAAACTGTCGCTCACGTTGTCTGGAAGGTTAACGTCCATTACCTTTACGGGCGAAACGGGCATGCCAAAGGTGGATAGACATAAATAATGATGTCGAGACTGCAGTATCAGTTTGAGGCAGAATCAGACCGAGAAAGCAGCGATGAAAAAAGTCAAGCAGAACCTCACCACACACGGTTCTTACTAAATGTGTCTGAATGATAATTTGCTACATTTTTTAACCATATACACGTTTGTTTTACACAATAGCATCTGACTGGCAACAATAGCAACTGACTGGCTACTAATGTTAAACACAAACAGTTGGCATTAGTTTACAGTACGTTCCTGATCAAATCGAAAATAACGTCATAAAGCATACATGAAAAATACATTTATAACATTAGTACGTATACAAAATTCAGGTCCATAATGTTTGCACGCGTTTGTCGTAGACACAAATTAGCATAACTAGTAGCCTAGTGGCTATAAAGCCAGCGCTTGCATTTGAAAAAAAATAAAACACAAGGCTATGTCTGGAATTATACATGCAAATACATTTAAAATGATGAAGTCTTAGCCTACTTACAGGTTGTGGCCCAACAACTGCTGCCTCTGGTTTTAAAGCTGGAACTGCTTCATTTTTAGTAAAAGTTTCTTGTTGAATCCGATGTTGAATTCGTGGAGATTCTGGAAGCTGTCTCTCGTAAAATGCGCAGCACAGAGAACCAAATTACGATTGACACTTTCAGGAACATAATCAAACATAAATTGTATCCATTGTTGACGAAGTACAGCGTCCGTGGGAAGCTCGAACACCGAAGACCTGACAGCTGGGTGAATACAACACACTCGACGAACCACAGAAATATACTCATGCCCTTTTCTGCATATTCCGGAGGGAGGGTTGATGTGTGGGTTAGTGACGTCTAAAACCCAGCTGTAGTCCCAATCGAGTCGTTTTTGTTTGCAATATACTTCCTGATTTTTAAAAGATGATATCTCTGCTTACACTGAAATTTCAGCGCTGCAACTTTGCAGATACTGTTCATGCACCAACAGCAACATTACACACTATTTAAAATCAAAAAAGTGAATTCGCAGTCAACCCCCCCTTTAAAACTGATCATACGATACGACGCCTCCTCGATGATGTGTCGACTGCTTTCACGTGCTATGGAAAATAGGATATTTCCCACCTGTGAACTGATATTTACCAGTGTGTTGCGTTCAAGTGCTTTTGTTGTCGTAATGTGGTAAAAATATGGAGATCCAGACCTGTTATTTAGCTAAAACTATTTTAGATTGCTTAAGTCATCTGCAACAGCAATAAAATGATTTATCAAAACTCAAAAGGTAAATAATATGCTATATATTTTCTAGATCATGAATAGTATTTTTACCATTCACGACTCTTGCGGTGCTCTCCGCCATTTTGAAAAGTTCAAAGGTTATCTCATCTCGGCAACTCATCCATCAAAATATTCTACGAGTTGCCCAATGGACCCTATTCCCTTGCGCGCGTTCACAGACTCCAGAATGAACACGTTCACAGTAACGTTCAACAGGCAGTAATAGGGTACATTCAGTTCACGTTTGCCCAAAATATGAATGAGTTCATGAACTATCATTCAATGAATGCGTTCAGGCACAATGCTGGAATCCAGAGAAAGTATCACAGTATCTAAAAAAAACTTAAGAATCACAATGAATTCAGTAATAAGAAAGACACAGACGACTTGAGTGATGATGCTGAAAATTCAGCTTTGCCATCACAGGAATAAATGACATTTTAATATATAAATATCTATTTTGTCTCCATTAAAACTATGTTTTTTGTTGGACGAAAGTGTTAAATAAGGTGTACTGAAACTAAAAACCGTCCTCCCATTCTATCTCTCTTTCTGTCTTTCAGGCATGATGGAGTTCAGCATATTTGGCATCTCTTACGTAAGTGCCTCTCTCATCATACCGCAGCACTTGCTATTGATTTTTCATTTGTGCTTTATTTCCTATCAAACAATGTTTTAGTTCATTTAGGTGCATTACACTAGCATGCAGCCATTACACTGACTCAGTTTATTTATTAATGTTTTGGAGTTGGCCCTGTTTTTACAGAGAATTATAGTTGTGTTACTCTCTCTTGCTGTCTCTTTCCCCTTCTCGTTCTCACTTTCTGCTTGTGTTCCAGACCGGTGCTGATATCTGTGGCTTCTTTAACCCTGCCGAATACGAGATGTGCTTGCGTTGGATGCAGCTTGGAGCATTCTACCCATTCTCCAGAAACCACAACACCATTAACATGCCAGTAAGAATACACACAGCATCTTTTTATGGACAGATTAAGGAATCTCTTAGCAGTGTTAACCATAGAAAATATCTTATTCTAAGCTTTGATACAAGGTTTAATCAGTCAAATTGTTTCAGACTAGCCTTACTTATACTTACACGTCATTCTCATATTCTAGTCAGAATGTGAGTCTTATACTGCCCCAAAGGGCAATTGGCTTTGAGGCCTGTCTTACCCGAACCAGGGTGTTACGACCCTTCGTTGATTTTAAAAGTCTAGGGAGTTAGAAGGGGAACATTGATCACCTATCAACAATAATTACCAAAAGAACACTGGGAAGTAAGTGAAACCAAAGGCAGTAGGACGCTTAAGTGCATTTATTGATGACCACAGCTGTTCAAAAGAGCTCTCTATAAACATATGTATATTCGTACATACATATGTAAAGAAACAATTCAAGCAAATGATTTCCAATCAATAAAGTAAAACAAACATACCAGTAAATAATATTATTCCAAACCTGGAAAAGAAAAAGGGAATAACCGGACAGTGCCAACTCAAAGAAATTAATAAAAAGAAAATAGTCTTTCTAACCCGTTTTCAATTACCCTAACTAATACCAAAGAAAAATGTAGAAAGGAAGTCTTCGATACTTCCCTTCTCTAACTATCCAAAAGTCAAGTCAAGTCAAGTCACATTTATTTATATAGCGCTTTTCACAATACAGATTGTATCAAAGCAGCTTCACAGTGATAACATGTAAGTAGCACAACACAGATCAACAACATTGCTAAACACTAAATAAATAACCCCAACTGAGCAAGCTCAAAGCAAGCCAAAAGCAAGGCGACAGTGGCAAGGAACCAAAACTCCATCAGATTGGATGGAGAAAAAACCTTGGGAGAACCCAGGCTCAGTCGGGGGCCAGTTCTCCTCTGGCTTACATTCATATTGTTTAAATATAAATATTGTTTATGAATCAAACGGCGCCATAACATATCGCAGGCGTTGAGTCGTCTCATCACAGGCGTTGAGTCGTCTCATCACAGGCGTTGGGGCATCCGAAATCCCCGTGAGAGGCTGGACACAAAACTGGACCTGACGAACGCCATTTTTCTCGGGACAAGCGTCCCGAGATAACAGCAGAAAGGCAGATGGGAAATAATTAGCATAGCTGATGTTCATAATAATTTCCGTTATAACTCACAAACTCTCCGTAACCCGAACTCTCCGCAACCCAACCATACGCGCCGACCCGTTTGTCTAAAAGGCTGTCGAGCCCCACTGGTGCGTTAAGCAGTTTCAGTGGCAAACGGTTCCGTATGGCATAACAGAGGACTAGAAGGTAAGCATTATGTGAATGCTTGACTAAAGAGATGCGTCTTTAATCTAGTTTTGAACTGAACAAAACAAAAGTACAACAATGGCACATGCCCCTAAACCTAGTCTGTTTAAACAGAGAAAAACCCTAAATGTGAAAAATGTACATCACGTGACATCTTACCTGACCCTCCAGTTTTAACACAGCATAATTACTCAATTCGGATAACCAGCTAAGGACTTTAGGTCGTAAAATTGACGCACTCACATGAGAAACTAAACATGAACGAAGCTTGTTAAGTAATCAAACAAACATCAAAACAAGCGTAACAGAGAACTACACACACAGTTACAGTTCACAAACAAAATGCTGGCATTTTCAATTGAGTTCAGGTGCTCCTTATAGTTCCCGGATTTCTGACGATCCATACGTCGTACTACACAGTGAAAAGCGTTGGATGCGGGTAGACCAAAAATGGCAGAGAGATTAAAAAGGTTGATTCTGTCAATTTTGTATGATCTCTCTGATGAGGGTTATAGAGATATTAATAGGAAGGCTGCTGCGTGAGGAAAGTTGCAGAGGATGCTGACATGTCAGGTCGACTAAAAAATGTGATATGGTGGTCAATAGTTCAATGTCTGCCTACAATTTAATTGTATTCACTGCCCTAACAACGTTAGAAAGTCATGAAAATAAAAAAAAAATGACATGACAACTTATTGTTATAAAATCTTTTTTTTATTTTATTTTATTAAACGTTAAGAATTCAGGCTTGTTTATCAGTACCATAGCAACGCTCAACTTCCGCTGGAATTGTCGGATAGGAACCGTCCATAGCTTTTCGCAAGAGTTCAATTTATTTGAACGCATCCAGATGACCAACAGACACGAATTTCTTCGCACCGCACTCGGTCGGACCCGTTTCGGACCCATTCGCATATGGTCTGCGAATCTACATAGGAAATAAATGACTTCTGGTCGTATCGGAGAGGATCCGTTCCGATATGTATTCTTACAGTATTTTCACATGGGTCCGGTTGCAGTCTCTTTTTTTTTCTGTAGCCACTCCAAAGTCCGAACAAAGTCTTTAGTATTTTACAGCAGGTGAATCTGTTGTCACTGGTGATTGTCGTTTGAACCTTTTCTGGATTTGTCATCAAATTGATGTTTAATTATATCAAGTGCTGTGAGAAAAGGCTATACATCTCCACCTCTAGTATCCTCAAACGCAATATAGCCTACTAGCCGAGACTCTTCTTTATGTGTACAGATGTGATGTATCATGTAATGACGTAAAGACATGCAAATCTCCCGAGGTAATCCACCAGTACCACTGAAATTAAAAACATTATTACAAGCTTATCTCTTTGAATCGAGCTAAGGCAAGCAGATAGTTTTGAACACTGGCTTTTTATGTATTTTCTCAAATATGTATTTTGGATCATTTTTAACCACCAAAAAAGCTTTGGACTGCAGCTTTAATATTTTTTATTATATTAAACAAAATAAGAAATGCTACTATTGTAATATTTCACTGTAAATAACAAGTACGTAAGAGAAACAATAACAATAATGATGATGATAATAATATTTTTATTGTGTACCTTTACTATACTAACTATAAGACTAAAATTTATGGCTGTCTTCATAACTTAATTTTCAAACTTAAAATAATCTATAAACTTAATTAAATTGCAGCTTTTACTATTTGTTCATTGTCATTAACCATCAACAATCCCGATTTTGGTTTTATTTTGATTAATAAAAAAAATGATGGACGTGGCAATGGACGTGTGGGACCATTATTCAGCTGACAGCGTGAAACGGACCCTTAATTGAGATTTATATAGTGTTAATCCTGATAAGCACTGACACTGACTGACAGGCATCAAAATAGAGGGTGAAACAAGATAATATTACTGTACGGACTGCCTTGACAACTTGTGAACTTTTGTCTGTGTGGCACCCTGAGGACATATGAAAATGATCTCTGAATCCCTGAGACAGACAGTAGTCCATCACGTAGCCTCAAAACACACAATGGCACTTGAAAAGGCCCCCCGCACAGACTGCTGACTAATATCTGAGATCTGTAGACAGGTGGGCTGTCAGGTATTCACTCTGGTACTTGTTTAAAATGTGACCTTTGCAAGTGCTGGGACCTGTCACAAAAATCCAATAATCCTGGAGAGTGAGTGGGATCGATATGGCGTGGGGAAAATTCTTCAGTGAGTGGACGTGGCAGCTTTGTTGCTAACAGATATATTTTGGGGGGGTATAATTAAATGCTCAAAGTTATCCAGAACCCTTCTAGGCTTCAATCATTTAAAAATGGCTTTGCTAATGGGTGATTTAAACAAAGGACGTACAAATAGAAATAGAGTTTGGAGTGGAATTGTAGTCTAAAAATCCTAAAGGATTATGCACATAATGCCTTAAAGGATCCTGTAGCTCAGGTGGTAGGACATGCGGCATAAATGGTCTGTCAAAATTAATAAATGTAAATGTAATCCTAATGGGAATCAGAAAAATAGAAAACTCCAGTGGATCTTATTTTTATTCTTATTTGATTTTTAGAGAGTTCTATTAAACGTTGAAAGTAGTTTAAATATTTTTTAACTGTTATATTTTGAATATATATATATATATATATATATATATATATATATATATGTGTGTGTGTGTAAATATTTGTATACTGATGGAAATATGTAGGGAAGCTGTGAGATTTTTTTGTTTTGTTTTGTGTTATGTTGGAATCATAAATGAATTCAGGTTAGAATCCTTCAGGATTTGTTCCAAATTATGATATAAATTGGGGAGTTGGAGACACAGCGTTTGCTATCTACTCCCAATGTTTTGGCTATCGCTAGTCCAAAAAGCTTTTATTGAAACCAAGCTGTCAAAATGATTTGTTTAAGATTTTGTCTCATTATGAAGTCATAGTACGATGAAAGACCAACACCTACTTCTACATCCTTACCTCTTTAGCCCTGCCCAGCGATTCATATTTAAATATGAATTTAGGCTTTTCGGAGAGATTGAAAATAAAAGATCTTGTGGTAGATTGTTTCTAATTTCGCTCCTGACCTAAGTCTACCGTGGTCTAGTCTAGTCTACAATCAACATCCCCAAATGTCTACAGTCGACGTTAGTTTCTCTGGGTCTCGTGTACAATTGACGTCCCCGAATGCCTACAGTCGACGCTAGTTCTCTGGGTCTCATCTACAATCGATGTCCCCGAACGTCTAGAGTCGACGTTAGTTTCTCTGGGTCTCGTCTACAATCGACGTCCTCAAACGTCTACAGTCGACGTTAGTTTCTCTGGGTCTTGTCTGCAATCGACGTCCCCGAACGTCTACAGTCGACGATAGTTTCATGGGATCTAGTCTACAATCGACGTCCCCAAACGTCTACAGTCGACGTTAGTTTCTCTGGGTCTTGTCTGCAATCGACGTCCCCGAACGTCTACAGTCGACGATAGTTTCATGGGATCTAGTCTGCAATCGACGTCCCCAAACGTCTACAGTTGACGTTAGTTTCTCTGGGTCTTGTCTATTCTGCCCTACAAAGCAAAAAGGCAGTAACTGCAGTTTTGGTAACGCATTAATTATTACAATTTTCATGACATTCAAGCCAACCTTTGTTATGACAAAACATCTTATCTTAAATGCATGTCGTTTTAGTGAAAAATGGT